ACCTTCCCCTTTCCCCTCCCCTCCCCACGCTCACACTCTTTCCTCGGCCTCGACACAGAGCTTCTGACGGCGGTGGAGCGGACGCATGGAACCGGGATTGTCCAGTTGACCCCGGAGCGGGTGCTGGTCTCGGCCAAGCCGGAGAGTGCGGCAGGCAGCGAGGGCATTGCCGTGTGGTCGGGCGTGCAGACAAACGCGGTGTTTGGCGAGACCTTCCGCCTCGAGTCGCTCTCCAACAACACCATCGGCATGCACCTGTCGCTGACGGACCTTGTACGTGCGCTCAAGACAGGCATGACCGCAAGCTCGCTTGTCATCAAGCTGACCAAGCGCGGCGGCGAGCCGCATCTCTCGCTCGTGTGCCGCGGCATGGTGGTCGGCGCCGGCAACATGCTCAACGTCACCCAGGACGTGCCTGTCGAGATCCTGCCGCTTGCCCGCCTCGCCGACCATGCCGAGCCGCAGCTGGCGGAGGCTGATGTTGCGCTCATGCTACCGAGCCTTGCCCACATCAAAAACGTGCTCGACCGCATGCGCCATCTCTCGACCGACGTCGTCGTCACCGGGACAACCTCCCCGACGGCAACTCGCTCTCGCTGCAGATCCGCACAGACATGGTCACCGTCTCGACTGACTACTCCTCGCTCGAGCTCCCCCTTCCAGCTGATGCGGTTGAGGGCAGCTCGCAGGATCCCGCCGACCTCCCGCACGATACCTCTGTCGCCCTCAAGCTCAACATCGGCCACCTTGCCCGCTTCCTGCACTGCATGCAGATTGCCCCCGACCACGCCATCATCTGTCTCCTCCGCTCTTCAGCCGCCGTCATCCACGCCATCCGCGACGATGTCTACATGACCTACATCCTCTCCGGCTCGGATCCGTGACCTGTGCCACTCCTGCCGCATCCAAGCGAACGACCCATGTCAACCAAACGACCAACCGTCGACCGACCGCACCACACCTCCCACACCTCCCGACACACACCTCCCGACACACACCTCCCGACACACCCTCCCCCCCACACACACACACACACCACCACCACCACCCTCCCCCACACACACACTCACCCATCCACTGCCATAGAGCATACATTGCCCGCAAACGGAAGCGCGAGGCTGACACCGAGGCCGAACGCAAGCGGGCAGAGACCGCGCGGCTGCTCGAGTACGTGGCGGCAGTGACGGGCTCGACTGCGGCAGAGCTGACCCACTCGATGTCGATGACCTCTGTCCGCGATGCTGCCCATCGGAGGATGAACACGTCGACCTTCTCGCTCTCGGAGCTGCCTGTGGCGTCAGCGGTGCAGGCCAAAAACACCCGCCTCGACACGGTGCGCGAGAAAGACAAGGCGGTGCGGGCAAAGCTGCGGGTCATCCTCGCCGAGAACCAAGCGCTGCGTGCAGAGCTCAAGGAGCTCCGTGCTGAACAGACAGGCAAGGACGATGAGGTGTGGCGCATTGTGGCGCCGACTCGGATGTCCACTGCTGGCGCCTCGGCGCTCGCTGCCCAGTCGGCCGCCAAGACAAACTCGCGGCCCATCAACCGCCTCTCGCCGCGCGCAAAGGTCATTGCCCACCAGACCTCGCTCTCCAAGCGCCGGCTCACCTCGGTACGTGCCAAAAACAAGGAACTGCACCTGACTTCGGCTGCCATCGAGCGCTCGCTGACAAAGCTGGCTAAGGAGCGCGACTCGCTCAACGCCACCCTCCACGAGCTTGCCCTTGCAAAGCGCCAGCTCGCCCGTGGCCTCTCGCAGAAAAAGGCCCGCAACGCCCGCACCGCCGCAGAGCTGGCAAAGGTCGAGGCTCGCTGCCTCAAGCGCTCGCAGGAGATCACAAAGTCGTTTGACGACCAGTACACCCGCGAAGCTGACGCCCTCCGCGCCGCAACACGCAACGCCATCGCAAAGGCCCGCGACGCACACCAGGGCAAGCATCTAGCAAATCTGCGCAAGGAGGAAGCCCTGCTCAACGCCCGCCTCGAAAAGACCCTCCAAGAGTCGGTCGCTGTCAACCAAGAGGTCGCCACTCTTCGCCTCGAGCTCAACCGCATCCGTTCCTGGACAGAGATTCGCGACCACACCCTCACCACTCTCGACACTTCGCTCGCCGTCACGTCGCCCACCTCGGGCTCGGGCATCGAGCTCGAGCTGTAACTCACCATCTCCTCGCCGCCGCAAACGGCGATCATCGATCAGCGGTCAAACCACCGCCGCCAATCGCGTCACTGCGACTATAGCTTGCATTTACACAGCATACGACTCTTGGTTCGCCATCAAAGCCTCCCAGAACTCTGGACTCTCATCGCCCTGCTCGACCTCGACGACTCGAGCCGGCGCGCCCTCGTAGTGTTGCAGCTGCGCCACAACATGGTGCGCCTTGCGGACGTACCGGTCCGGTACGCGCAGTCCGAGCCAGAGGAACACCACGCCGGCCTCGGGTGCCACAAGGACAAAGCAGTTGCGCGGCCCCATCGACGACCGCATCAGCTCGTGCTTCACCACCTTGCCCACAATCACACTCCGGTCGTTCGGTTGTGTGGCATGATCGAGTACAGTCGGTTGCGCTCGTGCGCCGCAAGCTGCACCCCACCGCGCTCGCCGCCCATCAGCATGTGGTTCGCCCACTCGCGCAGCTGCGCCTCGAACCCGGGATTCGGCGAGCACACTGCCCGCAGATAACGCACATACCGATATGCGTCGTCGTACGACAGTGCGTCGCGCCACATCAGGTACGCCAGCACCAGCGATGCCGATCGCGACGAGCCCTGCATGCAGTGCACAAACACTCGCCCGCCGCTCTCCACTGCGTCCTGGATAAATTCCACCACGTCGTACAGCAGCGAGTAGATGTCTTCCGACGGCGTGTTCTGCAGCGAAATTCGCTTGTACACAAACTGGTCCGGGAAAAGTTGGGCGCCACCCCTCCGGCCACGTTGATAATGTGGCTGATCGAGTGTTTGCGGAGCAGCTCTTCATCCTGTGCGCACCCGACTCCGCCGAGGAACAACTCCGTCGTCACCTCGGTAAACACATCCCTAAAGTCCTTCAGCTTGTGTAGCGTGCCCACAGAAACTGACGCCATCCGCAGACTGCGCAGCCCAGTTGACTCATCAAGCGCTCCCGGGCCCTCGGGTCGCTGCGCAATCGGCGGCAGCGCTTCCAGATCTGCCAGCAGCTTGCCACGGCCACTCTTCGGCTGCCCGCGCTGCCAGGAGACCCGCCGCTCGCCGCGTCGCCGGCCGGTACCCTGCCGCTGCCGCTCGCGACCAACGCTTCGTCCAACCCGGTCCTGCTCGCCGTTGTGCTGCACGTACACGTCGCTGCTGCCGCTCTCGCTCTCACTACTGCACACACCGGTCGCCCGGCTCTCCCGTAGCCGTTTCCTTGTCGCACGCGCAGCCGCGCGCTCCTCCTTGATGCGCTGCTCGTACTTCTCGAGTGTCTCGCGCGCCTCGCGTACAGCCTCGCTCTCCCCGAGTTGCGCAGGCTGTCGCACCCGCCGAGGGCTCGTCCTCCGCGCTCGCGACTGTTCACGCGAGGACTCCCACGGCGAGTACGGACGCAGCCCAGCACTCGCTGTCGGGCCAACTGACCGAGGCGGGGCCGGAAGTCGCCGACGTTTCCGAGACGACCGTCCTGCCCGTCCGTCCTGTCGTCCCACGTTGTACTTTGCTGGCAGCCGGAGCCGCGGCTTGCGCGACGTCGCCTCTAGCGCGTACCGCCGCGCAAGCAGCATCGACTTGGCTGCGTCAAACAGCCGCCGCCGCGACTGGCTATCCACCTGCTGCGCATAGTACTTGCGCGCAAGTGCCAGCCGGTCAAGCCCGTCCGCCGTTCGTTTGCGCGCCATAAACAGCCGGTCCTTGACCACAATGTCGTCAGCCAGCTCCTCCATCGAGTGCAGAAGTGACTCCAGCTCTGTTCCGGTCTCCTCCACGCCTCCGCACCCAGCCCGCGCCCTTGCAGGCTGCCGGCTGCGGACTCCGTGCAAGATCTGCTCACACCCGACCTCGAGGTCGTCCAGCAGATCCGAGAGCTCCTTGGCGACCTCGTCCGGCCACGCGAGCACCTCGAAATCATCGTCGTCACCGCCGTCACGCCCGCTCGCCTGTCCGCCTGTGTTGATCCGCGAGCCCGGCACCGCCGCATGCCGCCCGCCGCCACCCACACCCACACCCACCACAGACCGGGAGCCCGCCGCGTCGTCCCATTCCGACGTCACGTGCACCACAGAGTCAACCTCGCCCACAAACCGCACCACCTGGCTCTCCAGCGCAAGCGCCACATCCAACTCTCGTGGCGCCGCGACTACCCCATGGGCCACGCGAATGAGCTCACCCACAGCGGCATGCACATGCCGCGAGAGCGCAGACGCCTGTTCGGCCTCTTGCCGAGCTACACGATCGCGCTCAAGCGCCACTTGATACTCGTCCAGCCGTGCCAAGCCCTCATCCAGCCGCCGCAGCTCGTTGCCAAGCGTGCCTTCGATTCCGCTCGTCGCCGACACCATCAGGCCTGCGCCGCACTTGGCCAGCGCGCGAACCTCCTCGAGGAAGCCTGCCAGCGGCCGCGACGTCGCCGCCGACGCCGCCTCGGTCAGAGAGAGAATGGCTAGCTCCATCTCGGCGTGCGCCGCGGCGCAAACACCCAGCGGAATCGCCGCATCAGCTGCATCGCATGCAGCGTCGGCCGCAAGATCCAGCAGCGAGTGAACCTTACGCGACGATGGCGCATACTGTGCATTCTTCACCGCAAGCTCAACTTGTCGCGTCGCCGAGTCAATGTCCCCGAGTGAGCCAGCCAACCGTGTTGCCAACACCCCGTTCTCCGTCGACTCGGTGAGCTCACCAACAATGTGCCGCACGCTCCGAAGCGCATCCAGACAGTCGTACGCCGCAGTCTTGGTCTCAGTCGTTGCCTTGCCGTCGGCGCGAAGCCGCGGGAGTGCCGCCTCGATCCGCCGGTACGCATCCGCCAGCGCTCGCGCCATCGTCCGCGACTCAGCATCCGAGCCAGCTGTCGGTCCTGTGGCTGTCGTCAATGACGCCATCGTCCGAATCGCACGAGTAAAGTTGTACCCGTGCTGGTTGAGCACATCAAACGCGTCGTCCGCATCGCTCGATGCCGCCTGCGCCGCCTGCGCCTCGACCACCACAGCCCGTGCGTGTTCAAACACCGAAACAATCAGCGGGGCAAGCAGCCGATGACCGCTCGCCTCGTCGGTCCCTAGCTCGGCCGCGGCCATTTCCACCATTGACTCGCTCATCAACTCGCCAGCGCTTGCGTGGGCCGTCACGCCCGACAAGTCTTTGTCAAACCCGGCGTCCGCCGCCACCTGTAGCGCGTGTTCGCGCCGCTTTCGCCGTGCCTCGAGCAACGCGTGCTCCTCGGCGTCCACTGCTTGGACCCGCACCAGCAGGTTGTCGTTGAGCGCAAGAAGCCGCCGTGCCCGGTTTGTGAACCGCTCGTTCGGCGCGTCCAGCGACCGCAGCAGATGCGATATGCCATTGGCCAGCTCCGCAAGCGTGACAAACACCGACCGCTTTGCCTCGGTCAAGAGCGCCCCGCCCGCTAGCGCCGACGCGAGAGCAGATCCGCGCACAATGTCGGCAATGTTGGCCGGCAGCGACGCCACCATCATCACGACGTCCTTGGCGTCGGCCAACCCGTTCATCGTCCGCCGAAGCTTTGGAATGAGTGATCGGTCGTTTGGCGACTCGCGAACAGCTGCAAGCGAACTCGAAAACGCTGCAAACGCAGTGTCGAGCGAGCTCTGTGCATCGCCGAGGTCGTCGAGCACCATCGGATCAAAGGCAAAGAGCACCAGCCGCCGCATGACGTTGAGCACCGAGCTTGTGGCGTCCATCGCGTCAACGCCTGCAAGTGCCACCGCATGCATGTTGTCAAAGTCGCTCATCCGCTCCAACGCCTCGCTCAGCTCCATCTCGCCCTCCACAAGACCCTCGTACAGCAGCTCGGCCAGCGACGACATGTCGTTTGACCCGCCAGCAGACCTCATTTCGGCAAATGCCGCACCCAGCGCGGTTCGCGGCGAGAGGCCCTCGTCAAGTGCGCCGCTTCGCCCGTCAATCGAATGCACGCCCTCGTTCGCCGCACGCTGCACCACCTCGCGCTGGTCCTGCAGCAGCCGCGTTACCTCGGCTGTCGCACGCCGCGATGCTTCACCGAGGGCAGACTCATTCTCGGCAAGGCCCACCGCCAGCGGCGACGCATCCGCTTCCAATGATGCCGGCAAGTTGCCAAACGGTAGGGCTCGGAGCGTGCGGAGGTTGTTGCCGTGCTTGACAGCCTCGTTGGCAAGGTCACGCAGGCCCGCCGATGCCCGCGACGCATGCGCCTCGACACTCGCCCGCTCATTTGCCGACGTCAGGATCCTTGTCAGCGTCCGCATTGCCAGCGACAGCTGCGATCGTGCTCGCGCAACGTCGGCACCCAGCGACTTGGCCTCGGCTGCCGTCACCGTTGACGACGGTGCAAGCATCACCGTCGACGCCGTTTTCTTTGCCGCGGTGGCCACTCCCTCAAACAGCGCCGACCGTGCTTGCGACACACCCTCAAGGTACCGAGACGACGATGCCACAACGCCCAGATGCGCCATGTCGACCACCACACCGGCTTGCGCCACAAAGTAGTGCGCATCAACAGCAGCCGCGCCCAGTGCGCCCAGCGCGTTCAGGAGCCGCTTCACCACTCCGCCGATGAGCGGCGGTTTGCCAGACGACGCCAGTACACCCTCCAGGTTGCTGGCAGCCTCACGGAGTCCGCTAGCACACTTGCTCCCGTACTCCCTGAAAAACTTGAGGTTGTACCTGCCGGCAACCTCGTCAGCACCCCGCAAGATCGCCGCCGGCATCCATCGCCACTGCGGCCCACGCCTTGAACGACTCGACCTGGTTGCTCTTCCGCAGCCGCTTCGCAAGCTCTGCACATTTGCGGACATGCACCACCACCCGCTCCAGAAGCGTCCGCGTCTCGGCCGCCTTGGGCGCCAGTACTGGCTGCTGCGACACCATCAGCGCCGCAATCGTGGCCGAGCCCGCCGAGTCACCGGCGTGCATCGCCGTCACGCCGCTCATTGCCTCGACCATTGCCAGCCCGGCATCAATGAGCTTCTGTGTCGACATCGTAAGCGCATCTGTCACCTGCTCGTCACCCGAACCGGCGGCAGCAGTCTCGCCGGAGCGGCTGGTCGTCGCAGGCCGTCCGGTGGTGGGCCCGTTGTACTTGGCATCCACAGCAGTAGTGAAGGCCTTGTATGCACCTGTGAGCCCACGCATGGCCGACGACAGCGCTTTAGCCGCCTCGACAAGGTCCTGGTCCTCAGCCGAGTACGTGTCCGACTTGGCCACGCCACGGGCCGTGCTTCGCAGCCGCGAAATGGCTGACGCGGTCGTCTTGACCACAGAACGCGGTGACGCACCCGAGGACGCACGCAGCGTCGGTGACGCCAACGCCAGCCGCTTTGACGAAAAGCCCATGATGCCCGCGATCTCGATGTGGTCGACAGAGACCTTGCCCACCCCAACAACTGCCGAGAAGAACTTGCGCCGCGGCGCAGAGTCCAACGACGATGCCAGCTTGGACGCCGTCCCGGTCTCACGAGTCAGGTCAACCAAAACCGCGGCTACAGCGGTCACCTCCAGCACTGACCGCCGGATACCCGAGAGCGAGGCCTGCGCCGCACGCAGCGTCGCCCGTGCCCCCGAGTCGGTCGGGTTGGCTTCGTACGCCGCCACCCCTTGGTTGATCGAGGCCTTGGTAAAGGCGACCTCGTTGGCAAGCCCGTTCAGCACATCCCGTAGCGCAGGGAGCGCGAGCGACGACAGCGCAGACTGCAGCATGCTCTCCAACACCTTGATGGTTCGCAACAAGTCCTGCGAAAGTGCCACCGTCTTGCGCACATCTGCAAAGTTGGCCCGCGCAAACGAAGCGTTGAGCGAGACGGATTGGCCCGATGTCGCCTCCAGCAGCTCCGCCAGCTGCCGCAGCGCCTCGTCGTTGTACGCCACCACCTTGCTCAGCAGCAGCTCGACATCGCCCTCGATCCGTACCAGCAGCTGTCGCAGTGGCTCGCTCAGCTCGTGCTCGCCAAGCACCGGGTCGTTGCAGTATCTCACTCTCAGCTCGTGGAGCTCGGCAACGCCGTCGTCAACAAGCTCAGCCGCAGCCAGCACCTCGCGCATGCTCGAGTCGGTCCGCCGATGGGCAAGGCTCTGCAGTGCGTCGGAGAACAGCTCGTTCGCCTCCTCCACTGACTGCTCGGCCACCACAAACGCCTCCACATCCGTGAGCGAGACGTCGGTAGCAGCAGCGAGTGCACTCTGAAGCGACTTGGCCCGCGCCTCGGCTTCGGCCGCCAGATACGACGCCTCGACCTTGAAACCGATGGCAAAGAGCGCCACCCGCGCTGCAGCCACCCCGTCGAGGGCAGCCGTCACGTCGCGCTGATCGCGGTCGCTCAGAATGGTCGACGCGTCGACACCAGTGAGCGGCGGCGCAGGAGTCCGCTCCAGAACCCCACCAAGTGTGTCGGTCGAGAACTCGAGCTCGCGCCGTCCGGCGTCGAGCTGGCCCACAATGACCTCGTCGTTGGTTGTCGACTGCAGGTTGCGGGTCACGCCACGAAGCCGTGCCACCGCCACAAACGTCGGCCGCGCTAGCGATACCGCCGACTCTGTCGACTCGCCGCTCTGCCCCTGGTCGCCCTGACTGGCCGCAGCTCTGCTCGGCTTGCCACCGCCAGACATCGAGACCGGGAGCATCGGCGCAAGCGCCTGCCGCAGCAACGTCAGCGAGTCGGTGAGCTCGGCGTCGGCAAGCGAGAAGCCAGTGTCAAGGACCGGTCGGTAGACGTCGGAGAGGCTGAGCAAAAGCCGGTCGCGGGCGAGTTGGAGCTCGTACAGGTTTCGAGTTAGCGAAGCAACCGGAGAGCCGTCGCGCGGCGAGACCACAGTCACAATCGGCGCCGCCGACGCCGAGCCCTCGCCGACCTCGCGTCGCAGTTGGTCAAGCCCAGTAGCGACCGCCACAAACGCCGACATGAACGACGCGCGCGCCTGGTACACCACCTGCAGCAGTGCAGGGTTGGGGAGCGCGCGCTCAAGCTCCTGCGCGTGGCTGTCAAAGTCCTCGGCCTGTGCCACAAGATCAACACATAGCGCGTTGAGCCCGAGCACGTCTGCAGGGGTGCCAAAGGCCAACGATCCCGGTGCGGCGTCGGAGGACGCGCTCGACACAGCGCCCGAAAGGGCGCCAGACACGTTGTGGATGGCGGTGTCGAGCGCCATAGCGCACACCGAGACGTCGTGGCCAAGCAGGGCGAGCGTCACGCTCTGGCACAACTGCCGCGCCGAGTACGAGCAAGCGATAATCGCCGCCGCTCGCGGCACGAGCTCAGCTCGGACAGTGGCGTCGACTGGATCGGCTTCATATGCCACCAGCCACTTGCCAAACTTGTCGAGCACGCCTTCAAGCTGGCGATGCAGGCTGGCCAACTCGGCCCGGTGCTTGTCTACAGGCGTCTCGCCGGCCAGGCGCGCCATAGCAGCCAAAAACATCCGCGCCGCGCCCAGTAGCGCCTTGCCCTGCTCCAGCGTTGGTGCATACTCGTTGACGTTTGCCGAGAGCAGCTCATGCGCTCGGAGCACTAGCGTCGACGCCGCGTCCAGAAGCGGTGACGTCAGAGCCAGCGCGGCCGACGAGCCCGCTGCCGCCGGCAACGCCCGCGGCGTGCCCGCCTCGGCCAGACCAACCTGTGACTGGCTGCCAAAGATGAGCCCACCGCGGTCGATGGTGGTGTTTCCAGCCTGTGCAGCCTGTGCCGCCGCTGAGAGATCCATCACCGCCAGCGCCCGCACACGCTCTGCGGCCTGTAGCGCAGCGAGCATGGCGTCGCGGTCTCTCTCCGAATCGGGGTTGGCGGCATAGACGTTAAACGCTTGTGAGACAGCATCGCGTGCGGCAATGAGCTTGGAGCGGACAGCTACCAGCTGCGACCGTGTGGCGGCGCCAAGCTCGCCGGTGTTGAGCGCTGACGACACCGCCTCAACCAGCGTCGACGTTGCCTCCACAACCTCGGCCACGTTGCGGGCGAGACTGGCCATGTCGCCGGCGTCGGTCGCCGTCGTCGCAGAAATAATTGCGTTGTGCAGCTGGACGTTGGCATCCTGCGTCGCCGCTGGCAGGTCCTCCTCGAGCAACGAGGTGAAGAGCCCTGCCGAGGCTGCATCCATGGCCGCGTTGACCATGCTCGTCACAAGCGTGCAGGCGTCGCCCAGCTTGGCGCGCGCCTCTTCCGACTCAGGTGCCGCCAGATACTCGGCCAGGGCGTGCTGAAGACTCTCAACCGCCCGCGCCAGCTGCGCCCGCCGCTCTGCAAGCTGCGATGAGAACGGCTCGCGGAGCGCAGACTCGGCTTGGGCCAGCGACGCGTCGAGAGCCTTGGCATCGGCAAGCGCCTTGGCTGCCCCTGCACTCACGCCGTCCGAGTCATTGACCTGCAGAGCCATTGCCAACTCGCGGAGCCCGTCACGGACCCCATCGTGGGCACCGACCAGGCCCTCCAGTTTGTCAAAAGAAAATACCTCGGCACCAGCAGCCTTGCGAGCCTTAGACGCAGCCGCGGCACGAGCGGCTGTCAACTTGGCAGCCTGTAGCAGAATCTTGGTCTCGCCCGAGCCGGCAGCAGCCCAGAACAGCGGTTCGTCGTTGGCAAGCACGGCTGTCTTGCGCTCCAAAGCAAGTGCCACGCTGGACGACAGCATGTAGCCTAGCAAGCAAGATGACGTCAGCGCCAGAATCGCCACTGAGAGCCAGGCCACAAGGATATGCCGGATTGGCGGCTCGGCGCCGACGGCAGTCGACGAGTTCGCCAACGGGATGGCGATGCAGAGCTGGAGCGCCGTTGCAACGCCGATCCATAGGTTCATGTGCAGGAAGAGCGTAGACCGGTACGGCCGCTTGACTACAAGCACTGCCATGAATGCCACCTCAAAGGCGAGCCAGATGTACATGAAGAGCTTGGCCTCGTCGCGCGAAGTGGCGAGTCCGGCGCCAATCCCCGGCAGCAGCCAGCGAGCTGCCAGAAGAGTACAAAGTAGAGCGACTCGGTGTTGAGCACGTCGAGGTCAACCCGGAGTGTTGCCCATGTCTTGCAGTGTGCAAGCAGGTAGCCGTTGGTGAATCGTTGCGGGAGGACAAGCACAACGCCCGACTGGAGAAGCACGACAGCTACCAGCCAGCAGAGGCAGACCCACGCCGCCGCAATCTCCAGTAGAGTGCCACGGCCAGAGGCGAGAGCGGCAACGCTAGGGCCGACAAGCCCGACGCAGACCCACCAAACGAGCGCCCGCAAATGGTGCCCGCCAGCAGAGACCAGCGAGCCGCGGCCGGTTGCCAGCCAGATCGCCCCAGCGCAGCCTGCAGCTAGCCCGCAGACCAAGACGCCGGTGACAAGCCCAGCCAGCGGCGCGCTAGCCAAGTCAACGTCAAGCGGTGCTGTTGAGAGCAAGACCGACCAACCTGTCGGCTCGCCGCCCATCACCGTGGGTGAGTCGGAAAACGGCCATGGAGCGAGGAGCAGGACGACCGAGCCGAGAGCTGCGCCGATGCCGCGGACACCCGAGGTGAGCGGCGACGAGACCGAGGTGGAGAGAACAAACAGCTGAAGATAGGCCACAAGGAGCCAGAAGACTTTGCTCGGGTGGACAAAGTACGGCGGTCCGCGCGGGCGCAGCTCGTCGTCGTCATCGCGGGCGCGGGTGGCAAACCTGAGCGAGACCCGCGAACCCCACGAGGGCAGATGGCCAAACGACGAGACATGAGTCGAGTCAACGAGTGTACCTTCATCGCCACCAGCCTGTTCTGTCGTGTTTGCCTCTGAGCCCAGCGAGGGCGGCAGCGGCGGCAGAATGGGCGGTAGCGGTGCGAGGTCGGCGAGCGGTAAGCCGCCCAAGTCCGACTCTGAGCCAGAGTCCAGGCTCTGTGAGCTTTCTCCTATAGCTGGTTGGGAATACTCCGGTGAACCCTCATGCACGTCACCTAACGTGTCGTCCAACGTGTCGTCCAGCGTGTCGCCCAGCGTGTCGCCCAGCGAGTCGCCCAACTCTGACGTCTCGGTGGCCCAAGCCTGGCGCGCGAACGGCGGCGGGGCTCCTGGCATGGCGGGCCTGCAGCGAGCTGGATGTGAAGAGGGTGGGTGACCACGGAGTGTTGGTAGTGGCGTGAGGGTAGGGTGGGCCGGTGTGTGTGTGTAAGGGGGGAGGGGGCGTGGGGTGAAGTGGGTTACTAAGGACAGGGAGGGGGGGGCGGGGGGGGGGGCGGCGGGGAGCCGGGAGCGCAGGGGGGGTTGATCGATCAGAGGCTTGATCAACGGCAGCGTGATCAGCGCCAAGGCCGCCCTCACCTTCCTCACAACCCCCTGCCCCGTCCCACGCCCTGCACACCCCTCCTCCTCGCTCAACAATAGCATGGCGCACAGTGAGACTACGTCGGACGAGCTGTTTGCATTGGCTATGAGCGGAGAGGCCGAGCGCCTGGCTGAGAGCCTTGTTCACATGACGGCGGAGGTTGGCAAGGCAGGCGTGGCCAGCATGCGCGACGCTGATGGCGGTACTCTGCTGCATGCTGCGGCTCGGTCGGGATCGCTGGCCACAGCCATGGTGGTGCTGGGCGCAGGGTGCGATCCGCATGTGATCAACACGTTGGGGGTGGTGGCATGGAAGGTGGCTCCGCCTCCGCTCTCCGGTCAGCTACGGATGCTCAGTGGGGCGAACTCAGGCGCAGCGGCTTGCGCAGTGGCCGCGCCTGCGAATGCAGCGCCCAGCGTTCCTGCGGAGACTGCTGTCGAAGACGCCACACTGCCGATTGGTTGCCTTTCGCGCAAGGTCGAGGCTGCGGTCCGGGCGTCGGATGCTACGCTGCTGCACTCGTTGCTGAAGGAAGCGGGCGCGAGCGAGGGCGGCGTCGACGAGCTGATGCAGCACCGGGTGGGCGGTGGACGGACGCTGCTGCATTTGGCTACGGCCAGCGACGACTTTTACTGCACCTCGCTGCTTGTGGAAGCTGGATTCGATGTGGCGGCGGTCGATGACGACGGTGCGACACCGGTCGACCTCACCGACCAAGCCATGGTGCGCGGCTATCTCGCGGCGCGGAGCCAGTAAGGTGCATCATGCCTCGAGAGCAGGCTCGTGGTCGAGATGCATATTGGGAACGAGGCCAATGCGGCACCAAGGCCAGCGGTGCTCCAATCTTCGTTGTCCCGCGAGTAGATGACTAGCTCGTCACCGACACTGAACGAGAGCTCGTCGCTGGCTTCTGCAGCATAGTCGGCAGTAGCCTTGCAACGCGGAAGACTAGCGATGTCGATGGTCTCGACGTGTGTGAGCGGAAAAAGGCCCTCGCGCCCGCGCAGTTCCCCTGACCACCACGAGTCGGAGGTCTCGTCGAGGACGTGAATGATGTCGCCGGTGCTGATCGAGAGCTCGTCGTCGTCGACTGCGGCGCGGTCAAAGAGGACCCGAACCTGCTTACCGAAGCTTGCGGAAGAGGCTGGGCTCTCGACCAGCTCGATGCACATGGCGGGCGCGAGGCCGGCATCCATGGTGCGGACATTGATGGCGGTCCACCACTCGTCATTGTCAAACTCGACGACGAGCACGTAGTCGCCTACCTGAAGCCCGAGCTCGCTGTCCTCCTCCTCGATCCACGGAGTGACAACCCAGCCTTCGCCCACCGTCTCTTCGTGGGCGAGGTCACCGAGAGGTGGCCGCTCGCGGCGCGGCGCGGTCGCCGGCCTCTCATCAGTCGTCGCCTCCAGTAGCTTGACGTGGAGCGAGGGGAACATGCCGCGCGAGCCCGAGCTGGCCTCCACCCCGGTCCACCACTCGGAGTTGTCAAACGAGACCACGTGGATGACCTGACCCTGCTGAAGGGATAGCTCCCCGTCTTCGGCTGCCTCGTAGTCGTACAGGACTTCACAGAGGCCGATAGCGCCGTCCACTCCGCCCGGTGACGCATCGGGCGCATCCGAGAACATGGCCACGATCTCGACATGTGAGAGCGGGAAGAGGAGGGCCTCGCCAAGAGCTGCAGCGTCGGCCTCGGTGTCGTGCGATGAGACTACGCCTGACCACCACGAATCGCCGTCCTCAAACGTGACGAGTAGCGTGTCGCCTGCCTTGAAGCTCAGCTCGTCGGAATCCTCGGCGGTCCAGGCTTCCACGGCGGTGGCGATGCCAATGAACCCGGCCTGCTTCACACGAGAGTGGTTAAGAGCAGACGGTGGTGGCCGCGGTGAGTCCGGCGGGGACGATGAAGCCGATGACAGCGCCAGCGGCAAAGGCGAGAGGCCCGAGTCATCGTCTGTCTCTGGCTCTGACTCGGGATCGGGCTTGGGCTCGGGCTCGGGCTCAGGCTCGAGCTCGGGTTTGGGCTCGGACTCGGGCTTGGGCTCGGGCCTGGGCTCGGGTTTGGGCTCGGACACGGGCTCGGGCGCCAGCTCGGGCGTAGGCTGGGGCGGACCGCCACGATAGCCGATGGACGAAGCAGCCGGTGAAGCGCGGCCGAGCCCCTGGCGGACGCGCGGGAGATGGGCAGCACAGTAGAGCACCCCCTCGTACGACTGGAAGTTCTTGATGTTGAGCACTGTTGTGCAGCTGACGCAGCGAAAGCAGCCGGTGTGAAAGTTGGTGCGCAGAGCCCGGATGCGATCGACCGGGTAGACGGCCTTGTTGCAGACAGGGCAGAGCTGCTCAGGCTTGGGCGCGGCGAGGCCGGCGAAAGCAGCATGCGATCTACTGGGCTTCTGTGCCTGATTGTCGCGTCTCACACCTCCAGCAGTCAGCGCCACTGATGCATCCGGCCGATGGACTCTGCAATAAGGGATCTTATCACCGTCGCTGTTGCGGACCGAGTAGTGGTTGGCCAGGCTGAGCGTACATGCGCAGGCCGAGCATCGGAAGCACCCACGATGCCAGTCGGCGTCGAGAGCACGGAAGAGTTCGGTGGGATATACCTACCTCACCGCCAGGACATGGCGAAGTAGTACACCCATGCGTTTTGTGGAGTGAGTGGTGCTGATTGCAAGCCCCACCCCCTCCCCCCCTCCCCGCTCCCCGCTCCCCGTTCCCCTCCCACCCCCACCAAACCGCCGCAACGGTCCCCACCGTCCACCTCGAACACCCACATGCAACATACCCGCTTTCTACATCCTCGACAGTGCCGCACCCGTCCGGACATACCGCCCGTCTGCCTTGATCTTGGTGCAGAGATGCGTGGTAGGTAGAGTGAACACAAGGCGCACAGGCAAAGACCGTCCACTAAGCGGGCGGTGATGCCAAGGGGGGGGGGGGGGGGGGGAGGGGTTGGCCAGTCGCAGTCGTCGGCAACCAACCACTCCGGTCCGATGGGGCGGGCGATGGCAGCAAGCCAGCCGCCACTCCCCAGCCCATCACCCACCCACTCGGCCGGCACCACCACCCACCTCTGCAGCCAACACACCTCGCACCATTGTGCAATCAAGCCATGTAAGCCATATACATCCCCCTCCCTCCCATATCATCCCTCCATCCTCCACCCTCCCCCCCCCTCCCCGCCCCCCACCGTCCGATGTCCCCCCCCCCCCCCCCCGGTCCCGCTTTGCGACCTATTTTTGCGACGCGGTCAATGGGCGCCATCTCGCCGGGCAGAGGTCAGCGAGCAGAACCATACTCACAACAAGAGAGGATGTGGTTAGGAGCGGGTTCAAGTTTGGCGCCAACAAGGGTGGCGGTGGTGGGGCCAAGGCTGGTGGCTTTAACTTTGGTGCAAAGTCTACAGCCGGAGGCGGCAACGCAGCGGGTGGCGCCAAGAAGGCTGGCGGCTTCAACTTTGGTGGGAGCAAGACAACCGCAGGCGGGAACGCAACGGGCGGAAATGCAGCTGGTGGAGCAGGCGCCAAGGCGGGTGGCTTCAACTTTGGCAACAAGTCGGGGGCAGCAGGTGGTGCCGCTGCCGGTGGTGCCAAGGCGGGTGGCTTCAACTTTGGCAACAAGACAACCGGCGGAGGAGGAGGGGCGAGCGACAACTCTGCGGGCTCCAGCACCGGCAACACCACCGCGCCTGGGCCAAAGTACAATGGCAGCACGACGCTGTCCAAACTGGAAGCCGATGACAAGAATCGGCTCAACCTGGTCAAGATTGCGCAGGCGATCAACAATGCCAAGGCGGAAGCGGCCAAGGTCGGGATGCACTCGTCCAAGGAGCTGCTCGAGATCCATAACCGGACCCGCGGGAACTCGCAGCAGCTAGTGGCGGTGGTGGCAGAGATCGAGCAGACTCGGTTGGCGGTTGAGCAGCTGCGGCTCGAGGTCTCGCACGAGCTGAAGCAGGCCGAGTACGCGTCGAGGATGACGCTCTCGAGCGCGGCCACCTTGTCGGGCGACATGCCGGCCTTTACGGAGGCCTACTTTCGGCGGCTGCTGCAGTCGTTCGAGTCCAAGATGGACGATTTCCGCGTCAACATCCGTCAGGTCGAGAGCCATCTGCAGGCTGCGCAGGAGCGCCGCCGGTTCACGCCGCAAATGCTGAAGGAAATCATGCGCAACCAGCACGAGTTTTTCATGGCGGTCGCCGCCCAGGTTGCTGCCCTCCACGAGGCCATGGACACCCAGCGCGAGAGCTACCTCCAGTGGTGCCGCTCGCGCCAGGACTACTCCAACCCGTTCGACGAGGCCGACGAGCGCGAGCGCCGCCGCGTCGCAGAGGCCGAGCGCAAACTGCTCAAGGTCATCATGCCCGAGCGGGAAAAGGTCATCCATGAGGCTCTCGAGAAGGCCCGCCAGGCTGCAGGCATCGCCACAGGCAACAAGACCAGCACCGGCTTTGGCTTTGGCAACAAGTCGGGTGGCGGCGGCGGCGGTTTCAACTTTGGCAACAAGGGCAACGCCGCAGGCGGCAACAAGGCCGGCGGTGGCTTCAACTTTGGCAACAAGGGCAACGCCGCAGGCGGCAACAAGGCCGGCGGCGGCTTCAACTTTGGCAACAAGGGCAATGCCGCAGGCGGCAACAAGGCCGGCGGCGGCTTTAACTTTGGCGCAAAGAAGGCAGGTGGTGGCGGCGGCGGCTTCAAGTTTGGTAAGTAGCTCCGTTGTCTCGTCCCTCCCTTTCCTGTTCTCTGCATCTCCCCTCCGCCTCGCGCCCTCCGCCTTGCGTCCTGTCGTTTCCTGCGCTGCGCCCCTTCTCCCTCTACGCCTGCCTCACTGTAGCACGGCTGCCATCCGCAGGCACTGGAAGCTCTTCGTCCAACTCCAACCACACGTTTAGCGGTGGCACCAGCGCCAACGGCGCTGCTCGTGGCAACTCTCACAACTTTGCCTCCAACCAACCAAGTGGTGGGCTCGGCAACCGCAACAGCAACAACAACAGCAACAACAACACGTTTTCGTCCAACGCCAACGCCCGCTCCAACGCCGGCTTTGGCAACCGTTCCGTCAGCTTTGCCGGCCAGCCGTCAGGCTTCCAGCCGCCAGCCCGCCCTTCCTTTCGCCCCAACGCCACCGGCTCCGGCTCCGGCAATGGTAGCGCCAGGTTTGGCGGCGATCGGCCGCACACGACCACGCCGGTCAACACTTCGAGTGACGCCACTGCAGGCGCCCCGAAGAAGCCGCTGCTCGCCGCCGAGAACTTTGGCAACGCCGTGCCGACCCTGCGCCTGCCGAGCCGCGGACGGCGAAACAACAAGTGAAACAGCACACACACACACACACACACACACACACACACACACAAACACACACGCACGCACACATCTCAAGCGCTTTACGCGGCGTTCAGCTTGATGTCGTCCGTACTCGAGTTGAACGAGCCGAGCCCCTCGAGCACAAGGTCGTCGATGGAGCCGTTCAAGCCTCCAATGCCGCCGAGCGCGCCGACGGAGAACGTTTCGGAGCCGACCGAGCCGAGCGCAAACTCGGACGGCGACTGCGGAAATGTAGTCGAGCCCATGGCCGACATGACTGCCGCCGACGACGAGCCCGGGAGCTGGTAAATGTCCGACGGCGAGGGCACGATGCCCGACTGCGGCTCATCGTCCACGTCGGCGTACGCGGGCTCCTGCTCGGCCTCAAACAGCTTTTCCTCGACCTCGGTGTCTGACATGTAGCCCGACTCGGACTCGATGTCGATGTCGTGGAGCGCGCAGTAGTCGGCGATGATGGTCTCGGCCTCGCTGTCGTCCCACGGCGCAATGCGGTAGCACTCGTCGGCGCGGAAGAACATTCCGCGCGCAAACTCGACGTCAAAGTATCGAAGCCCGTCGACTGTTCCGTCGGTGTTGCCTAGCGCCTCGTCTTGGTCCAGTCGCACGCCCACGAGCGTAGCGCCATCAGAAAAATGCGTCATGCCCACAAAGAGCACGTAACCCGTTCGCAGAAACCGCGAGTCGGCATGCCACACCTTGTCGCCGACTTCCAACGGCTTGCCGCGCTCCGCCAACGGGTCGATCGAATACAGCTTGCTCGGCTCCACAAACACCCCGTGCTGCGGGTAGCACTTGAAGTACTTGACGCCCGAAATGGCGCCCGAGTTGTACGAGTGCTTGCCGACCGGCGTCTCGAGCCCAATGTACATCTCGTCGTTCCGCACGTCGTAGCTCGGGTCGCGCTTGGCAAAGTTGAATGTGATCGGCCCGCGGTACCGGATTTCGCACGGCATGTTCTGGTACAGCACGCGGAGGCCGGCCTCATTGAGCGCTGTCGCAGACGCCCGCAGCTTGCGCAGGAACCGCGTTCGCTGTCGCGTGAGCTTGCGCGCCGCCCGCTCAGTCTCGCGCTTTCGCCGCGCCTCGGCCCGCACTGCTGCAGACGCACGCGCCGCTGCCGCACGCGCCTTGGCCTCCTCGGCCGCCAGCAGCTCCTCGCGACGCGCCGCAAGCTTGGCCAGCTTGGCCTCGCGCGCCGCGTCGAGCTTGACACGCACCTGCGAGACCTTGGAGTACTTGGCGACAACAACGAGGTCGGCTTCCATCGCGTCGTCCTCGCGCCTCAGCAGGACGCGCAGCCGTTTGACCCATGCCGCCGCCTTTTTCTCCAACTTGCGCGAGAAGATGTCAGCCGACCACGCTTCGAACACCGCCTTGGCCCGCGCAAGGTTGCGGACGAGACGGGCCCGCCGATCGTGCAGTGCGTTAACGTCGATTTTGCCTGCTTCGACCACTGGCGCAAACGCAGTCTCAAACTCGCTGAGCAGCTGGATGGCGGCTTCGACGCCAACATCCGCCAGCTCGGCCACGACCGGCTCAAACCGCTCTGCACGATGGGCAGCCTCAGCGGCCGCGCGCGCCTCGGCCTCACGCCGGTCCGCATCAGCCCGCAGCGCCACTTCCTCCTTCTTCACCCGCTTGCGGAGCTTGTGCACCGCTGCCGCCGCAGACGCCTTGGCGCCCTCGTTGTGCACGTCCTCACGGAACGCATCGAGCGTCGCCTGTACGGCGTTGGCCACTCGCGCCAGCTTGGCCGCCCGCTCACGGATCTCGGCCGCGTAGTACGGCGAGGCCTCCTCGTTGGCCGACGCGTGGAGAGCGTCCAGCAGCTGCGGGACCTGCGCTTCGTCAACCTTGTTCTGCAGAGGCGCATAGTGCTTGCGCACGTATCGCTCCTCCTCGCGCGCGGCAGCCTCTTCGTCTTCGCGCCGGATGGCCTCGTCGGCCTGCTCCGGCGTGAGACCCTGCGCAATAAACGCCCGCTTCCGCCGCAAGTACTCGAACCGTGCCGCCGCCGTCTCGCGCAGCTCGGGCAGCCGCGAGCTGACAAGCGACATGCGAATTAGCGACTTGAGGTGCTTGGCCGCCGCTTCCATCCGCGTCAGCTTCGAGTCCTGAACCGCCCGCAGCGCCGACGCCATGGCCGACGCCATCGAGCCCTTCATGAAAACCTTGGTCTTGCCGACCTGGTACGGCGGCATGCCGCGGAGATCGCCCAGCACCACGCCCGGGTCCGACGCAATCAGTCGCGCCAGGTGGTGGATCTGGTCGTCCTCGGACCGCAAGTCCATCAGCACCTTGACATCCTCCTCCAGCTCCCAGTACACGTCCAGAAACTCAGCTTTGTCGAGCTCGGTCGGATAGCCGGCCTGGCGCATCTGGATAACGGCATACATTCCGGCCGACTGCAGCTGGTCGAGCACCTTGTGATCTTCCAGCCACCCATGGGTCTTGCCCGGTTGCCGCCGGCAAATCGGCTTGACGCACCGCACAAACAGCGGGTTGGCTGCTGCGTCCAGCTCGCCGCCCGACACGTTCGCCGCAGACTTCCATGCCGGCGGGCAGACAAGCTCGCGGAGCTGCCGCGCAAAGCCCCGCGCCACCGACGCCCGCTCGGCAGACGCCCGCCCGGTATCGTAGCACGCCGCCAGCCACTCGGTCCCGGACGTCGCCATCAGCTCGATGCAGTCGGTGGCAACCTTGTCCGAGTTCTTGTCGATGCACCCGCGCGCCGAGTACCACACCGTTCCCGCAAAGTGGTGGACGCAAAAGCTCGAGCTGGCCCGGTCGTCGAGCTGGTCGGCAAACCAGCCAAGAAAGTCGTGCTCGGTCGCTCGCTTGGTCAGCTTGAGGTTGTCTTTGGACGGAGCGTGTGCTTCCGAGACGAGCTGGACCCAGAGGTTGTCACCGAGGCTAGGGTCCGCCCGGTACTTGGGTAGCGATGTCGCCGTCCGCGTCGCATCGTCGAGGAGTGAGAGGACCGAGAACTTGCCCTCCATGAGCACATCGACCGCCATAGCGTTGTCGTCGTACTGGATGGCGTCGACGTCGATGCCCTCGGCAGCGTAGTGCTCAAGTTGCTTGGGGATGAGCTCATCGTAAAAGTACCGCTGCAGTCGCTCGTTGGTAAGGTTGATGCAGAGCTGCTCAAAGGTGTTCGCCGTCGTCGCCACGCCCTTGACGTCCGGGTGGTCCTGGAACGACTCAAAGCCAAAGATGTCGAGGACGCCAATCCACGCTCGCGACCGCGACGAGTCGAGCCCGCCGCTGCCGCCGCCCAGCGCGTCGTTGATCGCGCTCACCACCTTGTCGAACATCTTGGCGTAGAGCGACTTGGCGAGTGCGTCGACGTTGGCCTTGGCCTTGTCAACCGAGTATGACCGCGACTCGGAGACAACCTTACACGTCAGTAGCGTCTTGGTCAGAGCTTCCTCGTCGACGCACAGCAGCCGTGCCACGTGAGACACAAGCTCTGGGTTGGTAATGGTGCAGAGCGTCGACGACGAGGTGTCATGATCCGGCGCCTCAAACTCAATGTTGCCGAGGTGGAGAATGGCAGCGCACACGCGCCACACGTCGGCGAACACGTCGTCAAGCCCGAGTGCGCCGATGGCTGCTAGCAAATCATCCCAACGCTCTGCGTCCTCCATCGGCGTCGCCGCGGCATCTGGCTGTACCCGCCATGAGCTTGCATTGGCGCCTGTCGACCCGATGAGGTACGCGTACGACTCCACAGGGCCCAGGCCGAGCTCAGACCGGATCTCACTGTCGAGGTACTCGAGCATGAGGTAGAAAATGTGGTAGTTGCGCTCGCCATCGTCTTGGTCCACAATCCGCGACTTTTCCAACAAATACGTCTGAATGAAAGCGCCCTGGATGACGCCCGGCGTAGTGTGGGAAAAGTAGATCTTGACAAACTTGCCGAACCGCGACGAGTTGTGGTTGCGCAGCGTTTTGGAGTTTCCGAGCGCTTCCAAGATCTCCGAGGCTGCTCCGAGGTTCGAGAGCGAGTCAGAGCCGCGCGGGATCGCTGGGTCAGCGTCGGTTGCATCGGCCGCACCAGCCGCGGCGGCCTTGCGCGACCGGAACGCCAGAAAGTCCAGAACGTGACGGGTCGAGTACGTCTTGCCGGCGCCCGACTCACCCGAGATGATGACCGCTTGCGGCGCCGAGGTTTCGAGCAGCTGGGTGTATGCACGCTCAGCGATGGCAAAGATGTGCGGCCGGAGGGCCGGATCCTTGAACGCAGTCCCGGCGTAGGCGTGCATGTGCTCAACGTCGGCCAGTGGCGTCGGGCGCATCGGGTTGACGACAATGAGAATATCGCCCACGTATGTGTAGTACTCCATAGGCGAGGCCTTGTACCGGATCCGCAGGTTGTGCATCAGCTCGCCCACGTTGAGGTCGGCCAGCTCCATCATGTTGGCCCTGCCCGCCACGTTGGTGGCGCTCATGGCCACAACAGTCACCGACCCGCCACGCGGAACAGTCACCAGCTTGGGTCTTGCCTGCGGATGCGCATACTCGGGAAGCTCGCAGCAAGTATCACACAGCTCGCCCCAGAACGGCTCGACAACAACCTCGCCCGACTCGGCCTCAACCGACCGCACACGTCCAGCCACCCGACCTGCCCGTCCTCTGGACACTCCGTCAGGCATGGGCAGCTTCTCCAACCACACCCACTGTCCCTGGTGCAGTGCGCTCATGGCAAGAGAGGAGGGAAGGAGTGGGGAGGGGAGGGGAGGGGAAAGGGAAGAGGAGAGTGAGGTGGGAAGAGTAGGACGAGTGGGAGAGGGGGGAAGGGGTGGGAGGGAGAGGGAAGGGGGGTCTCTGTCGGTTGCTTGTCACCTCTTTTCAGCCGACACCCGCCATTATCAATAGCCCTCATTGGCCGCCAACCATTGACCGCCAACCATTGGCCGCCAACCATTGGCCGCCAACCATCATATTATCAATTTATCGTTTCTGTCATTTTCGGTGCGTCATCAGCCGAAAAGCCAACAAGTGATAGTCAACCCTTGTCTCTCTCCCTCTCCACTCCCCGCCTCACCACCGCCCCATCACCGCACCATGTCGGGCGCAAAGGTGCACATCAAGGACGCTTCTGGGGGTTCCAGATTCAAGGTATGTATTGCTACCAGAGGTCTAAGATGAGCACAGACATGCCTGCCTTTATCCCCTGTGATTAGGGTATCCAGCACAGCCCTCCCCGCTCCGTACCGCCCGCTTGTCTTCCCCACCGGTGCCAAGGATGGATGCCATCCTGGATGGGCTCGGCTGCCAGTGCGAGGAGGCAGGGGGAGGGGAGGGACCAGGCCGGGGCGGCAACGAGCTTGGACAGGGGAAGTCAGCCCATGGACGCCGACTTGAGAAGGGAGGATGGGGATGAGGTACTTACATAGATGGAGGTGGTGGTGGGGTGGGGACTATAGCATCTGACGTTCAAAGAGCGACTGGCTCGCGTGTCCGTCGACATCTTCCATGTCTCGGCGGCTGAGCTCGCCCAATCGGCGGCCGAGAAGCCGACCGATGGAGTGTCCGACTCTTTTCTGCAAGCGCGGCTGCATGAACTGTATGATCTCAATCTGACGGTCGAGTTCAAGGCCTTTTTCCGCAACTTTGAGCCGTCAACCCGCTCGCTCCCGCTTGTCCTCCATCATGCGCCGGAGATTATCGATGCGCTCCTGGAGCAAATCGCTCGCCACAACGAGCTCAACATGCAAGCCTTTGTCTCGATGCTTGTAGCGCTTGCCCGTGATGTGCAAGGAGAGTTTATGCCGCATCTCGACCGGACAATCAAGACCCTGCTCGACGCCGCCAGCGCACAGCTTGGCATTGCTTCCGGCAACGTCGGCGCCGCCAACATCCTCGAGATCGTCTTTACCGCCATCACCTTCCTGTACAAGTTCTTGCTCCCGTATGTTCTCCCTCGGCTGGACGAGCAGTTCCGCATCATCATGCCGTTTCTCCTCCATCCGGCCCAGTACATGGCAGACTTTGCCTCGCAGACCTTTGGCTACCTCCTCCGCAAGGTCAAGCTGACCAAGCTGACCAAGACACTGACCAAGCTGTTCAAGGTTGTCGAGGCCGACGGCACGACCGACATCGGCACCGCCCTCGCCTTTGGCAACTTTGTCTTTGTCTCGGTCCGTGGCGTCGACGGCCACTTCCACTCGCGGACCACGCCCGTCCTTGGCTCTCTCTTTGCCATTCTCGTCGACGCACCCGACGACGCTGCTGAGGTCTTCCGCTTTGCCGTTCTCTCCAAGACTGTCGCCACCCTCGCTTTTCACGCCAACAAGAACGTCCGCCTCCTCACCGAGCTCTGGACGGCCCTCCATGGCTTTGCCCGCGACTCGTGGGAGACGCCCGTTGTCTGCTCGCGCGTCCTCGCCCTCATCGCCTCGCTCCTCGAGCACTGCCGCGGGCATCTGCCCGCTAACTCCAAGGCGGTGTTCAAGGCTGCACTTACCCTTGCCGTTGACGTCCTCGAACGGCCAGACCCCACGCCGCAATTCAACGAGACCGCCGTCGCCCTAGCCCTCGCCACCCTCGAGCACGCATCGGCGAGCATCCTCGCAGTCGCCGCGCCCAACCTCCGCTCGCTGCTCTTCTCATCAGCTGTCACTACCGAGATCCTGCGTGCTGTCGCCCTGCGCGTCGCTTCTTACCCGGCCTTTGTCGCCGTCCACAAGCCTCATCTCATCACCAAAATCGTGGACCTCTGCGCCCGTCATACCGAGCTCTCGCCTCACCGCCTTGCCATGTTCAACACCATTGTTGCGCTGCAGAACGCCGACCGTGCCCTCGCCCACCCGCACGAGCGCTCCGAGCCGTACGCCCTCCCCGACGCGCCGAGCGATCCACCGTCGCGCTCAGACACCCACATCGTCTCCAGCGAGCTCTTTGCCATTGTCACCAGCTCGGTCGTCGCCGCCCTCGACGCCGAAGACGAGCCTATGTTGCGGGCGAGCCTCGCCGCGCTCCAGCACGTCTCAGTCGAGTCTCCTATGACCTCTCGCCCCTCGACCAAGAAAAAGGCCAAGAGCAAGAAAAAGGCCAAGAAGAAGGCCGAGTCTGCCGGCGACCCGTGCCTGGACAATGCTATCAGCACGCTTGCTGGTGCCGTCGAGGCCGCTGTGGCCGCCGGCATCGATGCGAGCGTGCCCGCTGCATTTGATGCTCTCGGTGTCGCCGGCGCTGCGGCCCACACCCTTGCCATTGTTCTCGTCAACGCCTACGGGACTGGCGGAAGCCACGCCGACGGCACCATCCCTGCCCCGGCCGCCGATCTTGCCGTCGCCTGCTACGACGCCGGCCTCTCTGCCATCCGCTCCATCGGCTCGGCCGCCATGGACCGCACCAAGCCGCTCGCCCCACTTGCTGAACTTTTCCGCGGCATGAACGCGCTCGCTGCGGTTGTCTTTGATGCCCGCCCTGAGCACGCATCCGTCGCGCAGCTCGAGGTCGTGCTCCCGCTTCTCATTCCGGCCTTTGCCTCGCCATCGGTCGTCATCCGATCGGCCTCGCTCCACTGGGCATCGATGTTTGAGCAGGCTGAGAGCCTTGATGTCAACAACCCTGATGCCAACGGCGAACCGTCCCGGACAGGCGCCCCAGTCACGCTCTTCAACGACCTTGTCCAGCTCACCCTCTTGCCGTGTGTCCAAGGTGTGTCGATGCTGATGCGCGAGCTCGAGACCGGCCTCAACCGCGTCTCGTCGCTTCACCTCCACGGCATCCTCCCGCAGCTCTACGCCCATGTCCTGCCGGCCTTTATGCTCGGCCTGCTCCACACCAAGTTCTCGCCGGTGTGGGACATGGTCAAGACGCGGCTGGCCGACATTGCGCTCGCCGCGCCTCCGCTGCCGGCTCTCGACGTCGAGCCCGACCGCGACGTGGTCGACAAGCGCAATCGCGCCCACTTTCGCGACAACATCTGGCCAGTCTTTGTCACCCACTTTGAAATCTACGCCAAGCGCTCGTCGCTTGACGTGCTCAACCACGTGACTGTCGCCGTCACCGCTGCCAAGCAGCGCCTCGCCAGCCACCAGGCGCTCGTCAGCTCGCTCGGCAAGCACCCCATCTGGCTTCCGTCGTTCCTCTTTGACATGCGCAAGGCGACCGCTGCCGCCGCCTGGTCTGCCGACGTCCTCCGCGAGTCGTCGATTGTCGACGTCGACGACGTTGTCGTCACGCCCGGCACCGTCGTCGAGTACCTCGATGCTTTTTTGCCTCGCCCGACAAGGTCTTCCGCGCCCTCGTCAACATTGCCCATGCCTTTGGCAACTTTGCCGAGACGGTGGCTACGCCGCTGTTTGAGCAGTTCTTCGCCTTTCTCGACACCGACTACCAGGTCATCGTTGCGCACAAGGCCAACCCCCGGTTCGCCACCGCCGCCGCTGGCACGACCGACAATGATGATGGAGGGAAGATCGACAGTGAGGCCAACGACGAGGACGACGACAAGGACGACAACGATGACGAAGATGAGAAGACCTTGTCCAAGGACGCGCCGCGCCGATCCCGGCGCGACCCGAACCGCCGCATTGGCCGCGGCTCGGCCGTCCGTCAGCTCCTTCTCTACCTGAAGCTTATCGGGTCGTTCCGCGACGCTTCCGCCTTTTATGGGCGCGAGCGGGTCAAGGCACTGAGCCTCGACCTTGTGTCGCACGCCAATGCCGAGGTCCAGCTTGCCGCCTTTGAAGTCTACATGCTCTTCCGCGACCCGGTTGTGGTGCCGTACGCCGAGCGCATCCGGCAGATCCTCGACCCGAACTCGTTCCGAGCCGGCATCACTGCGTTCTCGCCGCAGAGCCACGCAGCCGAGGCACACATCGACGGCCTCTCGGCCTTTCTCGTCCGCTGCCTCATGCCGTACCTTTTCCGCAAGCTGCAGGGAGGTGGCAAGCGGACCCGCCACGGTCGGCGGCCGGCGGTCCTCGCTTACGTCGGTGCTATGCGGCCGGCCGCGGCTCAGTACATGGTGGCTCGGCTGCTGGCGCCGATCCAGAGCCTGGTCGACGCCTTTAGCGTCACCGATGTGGGCGCGAGCCACAACGACGCCGACGCAGCCGCACGCATTGTGGCCGCCGTCGAGGCTGTAAGCTTTGCCAAGATCCAGTCGGCGCTCTATCTTGTCCCAGAGCTGGTGCAGCACCTCTCGACACACCTCGAGCCGCAGGCCCGCGAGCTCATTGGTCTCGCCATGATCATGGCGCGGTACGTGACCATCAAGCGCGGCATGTTTGACACCGAGACCAAGAAGCACGCTCGCCGGTCGTTCCAGGACATCGAGCGGGCGGCGCTCAAGTCTCTGGCCCTTCTCTACGACCACTTTTACGCGGAGCCAGCCGAGTGGGCGACTGCTGTCGAGAGTGGCCACCCGCTCCACGCCGAGATGGTGGCCTTCCTCCAGGGCTCACACGAGCGGCTGGCGGGCATGTCCGAGGACTCGCTGGATGGACTCTCCATGTGGCTGCGGTTTGTGTGCCACACGCTCGCGCCGTCGCACAAGCTCGCGCGCTTCCTCTCTGTGGGCTCGACGCGCGACGCCCTGCTCGACATCATTGCTCTCCGCAACAAGCCTTCGCCAGACGCTGACCACGCGGTCGTCAGCATTCTCAACGCCCTTGCCAAGCATCGCCTTTTGGACATCTTCCCCAAGCTCGCGCGCAAGATCGAGTCCAAGCCTGCTGGTCAGCACCTGCCATGGATGCGGCAGTGGGTTGAGGCGTCGGACATCGACGTGGCGGCAGCCGAGGCTGGCGCCAGCTCTCGCAGCTGGGTCTCCGACCTTGTTCAGCCCATCGGCAGCGTGCTCCTCGAGCGCGTCGTCGCCATCCTCGGCGAGGCGTCGAACAAGCTGACCAAGATGGCGACCGAGTTCATCCTCGTCCTTGTCGACTTTGCCGATCTGGTGGCGTCGTCGGCGTCCTCGGCCAAAATCTACATCGACCGGGTCACGCCGTTCCTGCACTCGACGGCGAAGACGTTTGTCCAGGTCGCGGCGCCGCTCACCCGCGTCCTCCGCATCCTCGCACCGACCATCGAACACAACATGGACGAGACCATGTGGTCGCTCGGGGTTGTCTTTGGCCGCATGCCTGATGCGACAGCGTCGACGGCCCGAGCCAACGTCCTCGCCGCCATGCGGACTTGGGCCGCTGCCGGCCTGGTCAGCAACAGCGAGGTTGTCGGCGCGGCGCTGAAGCGGCTCGCCGCTCTCCAGGCGGTGACCAAAAACTCGCAAGGCCAGCTCGAGCCCGACTTTGAGGTGCGGCTTGCAGGGTACGATGCACTTTCTCAGCCTGATGTGGTGGTGAGCCTCTCAACCGCTGTCGCGCTCCGCGCGCTCTTGCACCAGGCACTGGCGGACCTCCGCGGCTCGACCTGGACCGACCGCGGGCTCTCACAGGCCGGATACTTTTTCGTCAAGGCTGTGATCAAGGCCGGCGTCTCGGCCGACGCGCCGCTAGTGGAGGCGTGGCTCGAGCGCGACGACGCGCCGGCCAAGCTCCGACTGGTGCACGTCATCCGCGACACCGTCGGCCAGTCACTGCTTGCCATCATCCGCACTCCGCCCTCGCCCGCAGTGAGCGACCTCGCGGTCCGGCTCATCCGGGCTTATGTGCGGCGGAGTGACAAGTTTCTGTCCGGCGCCGCCATGCTGACATCAGACGACTCCGAGAAGGATGTGCTGCTGGGACTTGCGGCGACTGCGATGTGGCGGGTCAAGGCTGCCATAGCCCGCATCGACGAGATGGCTGATGAACTCCCATCGCATGTCGCCGTCGAGCTGGTCATTCCGCTCCTCCGGCCGCACATCATGGTGGGGTCGGAGGAAGGGGCCAAGGCTGGCGTCGCCGACTCGGCCTCGCAGCTCCGGGCCACACTGGTGAGCAAGCTCAACTGGGCGGGCTACCTTGCGCAGCTCAACGCGGCGATCAAGGACGTCGACGCTCATATCGAGATCCGCCGCCGACTCGTCGAGGTTGTCGTCCGCCAGCTCGAGCACTTTAAGTTTGACCTTGTGGCCAACGAGGCGCAGCGATCGGTGGTGGTCGACTCGATCCTCCCGCGGCTCTACGCCATGCTCATGGATTCAGGTCGTGCCTCCGGAACGGTCCGGACCAACGTCGCCAACATCATTGTGTACCTGCTGCGGTGCCTGCCGCGGTCGGACATGGAGGCCGCCCTGCCGCAGCTCATCATCCGTGTTGTCAACCAGCTCAAGCACCACGAGTCCAAGCACCGCGACCGCGCGCGTAAGACGCTCATTGTCATTGCGCTTGCGCTCGGACCGGACTACTTTCGGTACATTGTGCGCGAGATGCGGGCCACACTGCAGCGGGGCATGCAGCGGCACGTTCTTGCGTTTACGGCGACCCAGATTCTGGGCATTCTCGCCCGTGCGACCGAGGACGAGGACGTTGCCGCGGAAGGTGAGGATGACGCGGCGCGCCCGTCAAAGCGCTCCAAGCTCGGCTCGGGTAAGGCCAAAACCAGGGCTTTGGGTGGTGCCGCAGCTGGGCGGACGCGACAGCGCAAGACGCGGTCAAGCAGCCCGGGATCGAGCGAGTCGGGCTCGAGCTCAGACTCGGGCTCGGACTCGGGCTCGAGCTCAGCCTCGGGCTCGAGCTCAGACTCGGACGCCGGCTCGGACTCGCTCGAGGACGAGGACATGCTGTCGAGCATGCGGCCGCTGATCGCCAAGGACACTCGGTTCACCGAAGGCTCGATCGACTACTGCATGGGCGAGATTGTGGAGATGCTGCTGGAGAGCGAGTTTGGCAGTGTGGCGGAGGAGAAGGAAATCGGTGCGCTGACACGCAAGTCGATTGAGGCGCGGTTCCGCGGCGGAAGCAAGGCATTTGAGTACATTGGGCGGCTGGTCAGCCTTGGCGATGGTACGTGGCAGGACGACGTGGTGGGCAAAATGAGGGCGAAGCTTGGCGAGCTGCGGTCGCGGCGCAAGGCAGACCACATCAGCAAGTGCATGCGGTACCTCGCGCGCGGCGTGGCGGGCAACAACTCGTTTGAGCCGCTGGCGGTGCTGAGCTTCCTGTTTCGGCTCGGTGAGGAGGAGCTCGCCATGGAGCGCAAGAACGAGCAGGATCGCAAGAAGAAGCGGTCGTCGCTGGCGTCGACGTCGATGATGGAGGCCGAGGTGTCGAACAAGGCGGCTGTGCTCGCGGCCCAGGAGGCTGCGCGCAAGCGGTTCCTCATCGAGCCGGAGCCGAACCGGCGGCGCGGTGACGGAGTGGCAGTCAACGACAGTGGGCGGTCGCGCGTCTTTACGCCGGGCAACCAGCCGATGATGGTCCACTTTGTGCTGTACACGGTGCTCAACCTGATGAACAGCGGCCTGCTCGAGGTGGAAACGCTCGACGACCTGCAGCGGCTCGACCCGTTTGTGAAGGTGTTTGTCAAGGCAATGAGCAACAAGTCGACCGACGTGCGGCGAGTGGCGCTGACCGGGATGCGGCGGCTGCTGCGGCTTGCGCGGTCGGACCAGGCGACGGCGGTGCTTGCCGAGGCCATCGACGCATCCGAGGTCGGCGACGAAGAGGAGGTGGGCGCGAACGAGACCAGCGAGCACGATGCTGCCGAGCACCGGCAGCGTGTGCGGGTGCTCATTGCGCTCCCGTCGCTGGACAGGGCGTTCCCGAACCTGCTCCGCAAGGCGGCCGAGGTGATTATGGGCGCTGGTCCGAAGGAGGGTGTGGCAGTTGCAGCTGCGCTGCAGCTGATGGCTGAGGTTGTGGCGCTGCAGACCAAGTCGCGGATGTCTGCCAAGCAGCTAGAGGTCATTGTCTCACTCATCCGTGAGAGCGTGCTGACCCGCGCCGGCGGAACGCGCAAGACCGAGGACAAGATAGCGGCCAAGACGCGGCGGTTTGCGGCGATGCGACTGCTGGATGTGGTGCTGAGCAACCGGTACGTCTCGCCGTCGCTGTACGACCTGATGACGCCACTCTCGCAGCTCATGGTCAAGACGCAGTCGCAGGCGGTCTCGTCGCGGGTGTCCAAGATCTTGGGCAGCTTCCTCATGTACTACCCGCTCGGCGCCAAACTCCTTGAGCGGCATGTCTCGTTCTTCCTCAAGAACCTCGGGTTCGACTTTGAGTCTGGCCGGCGGGCGCTGCTCGTCATGCTGCAGAAGGTCATTCGTCAGTTCCCGGGCGACGTCATCAACAAGCTCGGCTCACTGATGTTCCTTCCGCTTGCGGCGCGGCTGATCAACGAGCCATCGCGGGCGACCATGCCGCTGGTTGGCAGCGTGGTCGAGTTGCTGCTGGAACGGCTGGACGCGGCAAACCTGCAGCGGGTGTTTAGCTACGCCGAGACGTGGTGTGGGCAGACCGAGAAGCGTGAGAGCCTGGGCCGACTCGGCTTCCAGATTTTTGGCATGCTTGCAAACCGTGTCGGTGCCGAGGCCTTTATCTCGCGGGAAAAGGGCAAGTGGTGGAAGTCGTTTGTGGCGGCCGTCGACGCGTTTGTGCCTGCGGTCGACGACGATGCTGCGGCGTCGAACCTGGTTGCAGACTGGATGCTCGACTCGTGGCAGGTGGTGTACCAGCTGCTTCACGCAGTGTTTAAGATTGTGCGCGGCGTGCCGTACTCGCGGAGCCACGTGCACAATTCTGCCATGGTGGGCCGGATGTGGCAGCTCGCAGTCGAGCTGCTGATGGCCTCGTCGCACTCGTGGGTCCGCCTCCAGTGCATGCAGCTGGTTGGAGTGTACTTTGCGCGTGCGCGCGAGGTGGGACACAAGGCCGGCACGGCGTCGCTGGTGATGCTGAGCTCGCATGACGCGCTGCGCAAGCTTGCGAAGGTTCACATCGTCCAGATCGACACGCCCGGGCAGCTAGTCTCTGACCCGTTCGCCCACCAGCTCATCAAGAACCTGCTGTTCATCATCAAGTGGGAGAGTTCGCTTGAATCGCCGCCGCAGCGCGGCATGCCAGTCACGACCTGGATCCTCAAGCGTGTCTCGTGGTCGGCGCGGACGGAGCAGGGCGAGGGCCGCCGGTCGACAGCGGTGCGGACGTTTGCGCTCAAGCTCTTTGCCGCTTTCCTGGGTGAGTACCCGTTGCTCGAAGACAGCGTCGGCGAGGACGTACGGATTCTCGCCGTGGGAGGGAGCAGCTACGCCGGCGAGGTCAAGCCTGCCGACGAGGAGCGTGTGGTGGCGTGGATCGACGAGATCAAGCAGGCCATGGCGACGACCAAGACGCACACGAGCGGTGCCGGCGACGACGACGAGAGCGACGACGAGAGCGAGCCTGGTGCAGGGAGCAGTGCCGACACCTCGGAGCTCATTCCGGCCGAGTACCTTGCGCCGATGCTGCACGCCATGTACAACATGGTCGAGGCCAAGCGGCAGGTCTACAAGTCGCGCAAGCACACCGAGGAGGAGCGCGAGGCTGTGGCAGACATGGTCGACCTTGTCCACGAGGTCCTCAAGTTCTTCAAGCAGCGGACCGGGACGCTGCGATACACACGGGTTTGGGCCGCGGTCCGCGAACACATCACCGGCGTCCGGTCTGAGCGCCGCGAGAAGATGGCCCACCTTGCCGAGACGCTTCCAGAGGTTGTCGCCCGGCGGCGTCGGGCCAGCGACAAGCGCAGCCGTAAGCGCAAGCGTGTGCGCAAGCCCAAGGACGACGATGGCGAGTACACCACTGAGATCAACACCAAGCTGTACAAGAAGCGCAAGTTCCACGACTGATCGCATGTAAACGTACTGTCCCTCTTCCCACTCCCCTTCCAGCATTCGCGCCCTCTGTCCGCGAACCTGCCCACTCTACCCTCCACCCCACTCCACCCCACTCCACCCCGCCACACACACACACACACACACACACACACACACACACACACACACACACACACACACACACACGTCATGACAAGCCCAGGATGCGACGAGTGGACAATGGCGACGTGCAACCAATGCAGGTCATGCTGTGCCGACCGGCCGCATCCGACTCACGTCGGCAAACCCGGCGAGCTGACGTCGCTGGCGGCCTTCCTGGCCATCCTTGTGGTCATGGGCATCCTGTGGTCGGTGCTGGGACGGGTCTTTGCCTCGCGGCGCAAGGCGTCGGCTAAAAAGGTGAGGACTTTTACCGTCCGGGATCCAACGCCCGCGAAGCTGAAGACATGGGCCTTCTTGCCGCGCTCGGTCTCTCGGGTGCTTCGGCCTCCTCGCCTATGTCCTGGGCGCCCGACGCCATTGCTCGCTCTCGCTCGGCATCGTACGCAGATCACATCGCCGCGTGGGATCCTTTTGCCTCGGTCGATCGCCGGACGCTCGATAGCTACGACGATCGCTCCCTGCTCGTCGCCCGCTCGCCGGCCACCGCAGACGACGAGTACACCCCGCCGGACCTGGTTGCCGACGCAAGAAACATCAGCTCGGAGTCGCGGTCGTCGGCAAGCTGGGACGGTTCAGAAGCACCTGCTGCCGAGCAAGCTGCAGGCGTCGGATCATGAGCTGGGAGGGCGGTTGTGTATTGGGTGGAGTTGCGGACTTTGGACGCGCAGTGCGCCGTCGAGTCTGGAAAGGACGCGGGGCAGCGACGGCTACGCCACGTCTTCGACCTCGAGGCCGGCAGGAACCTGTGTGGTGTCGTCGTTGATGTTGGCGCTTCGAATAGCGCGCAAGATGGAGGTTGAGACGGCAAGGTCTCGGCGGTTGATGATCCTGCCGCAGCCCAAGTGCGGACACTTGCACGACATGCGCGAGCCCATGTGCTGGAGAATGGCGGGCCGGTCGACGTGATGGCCACATGGCCCGTGGACTGGATCCTGCATGATCTGGCCCGAAATAGGGCAGATGAAGCGGGTAGACGAGGTCGACGCCACGGGGAGAACCGCAATGTCGTCGTCACCGTCGACGGCAATTTCCATGTCGTTGACGCCCTCGATGAGGCCAACGGAGTTGGTCACCGTCTCCTTAAACTCTTCTAGCACCGCATTGTGGGCGTTCTTGAGCTCCGCCGCTGCCGCCGCACGGCAGGCCTCGGCCACACGGGTCATCACCGCCTCAAGGTCAAAGATCCGCAGCTGATACGAGTCGGCGGCACTGCCGCTAGCCGCCATGGCTGCAGCTTCGGCCTCTGCACGGGCACGGGCCTCGTCTTGGTCGTGTGCTTCTGCGCTCTTCATCACCTCACGCAATGCCTTGCTGTGCGCCAGCGACTCGATCTGCGCCTCGAGCACCGTATCGAGCATGCTCCGGATGCCCTGCAGCTGCCTCTTCAACTCCTCCGGCTCCAGCACGTCCTTGACACTACACACGCTAGCTGCGGCATCCTGCAGCACCTTGACATCCTAGCTCCACACACACATATATATATATGTTAATCCCCAAAGACATCCTCTCACGTCATGTAAGCATAGATGCCATTGCCCTCGGCCAAGGGCATCTGAAAAAGGTCGTAGAAACAATCACCTCCAACCAGCAAGGGCACACACACGCGCACACGCACAGACACACACACACACACAGACAGACAGACACACACACACACTCACTCACACACACACACACACACATAGTATTGGCTTTGGGCGTACAAACTCTTCAAACTCGGTCCGCAGTCTTGCCTGCTGGCCTTCGGCCTCGTTGAGAGTGCGCCTAAAGCCGCGAGCGTAGCCAGCACTCTGGTTCATGTTGTGTGAACAAGAGACGGGTATCAGGAGCTTGGCACATCATCATCGTGGTACGGTAGCAGAGCGTCAAGGCAAAGCAGCTGCGGCCAGCAATGCGGCACAATTCCAACAGGAGGCTCAACATCAGCTGATCTTCATTTGCGGGGAGGAGGGGAGGCAGAGGAGAAAGTCAGGCATCATCATTCAAGCAGCGCTGTCTCGTGGGCGGCGCATGGCAGAGAGAGCAGGAGATCGGAGGCAGGTCCTTACTCGTACGAGTAGTCAGTCGAGTCGGACGAGTAAGACGAGTCAGTGCCGTACGAGTACGAGTACGAGCCCGAGTATGCGGTGGAAGAACCCGACGACGACCTGGAGGCCCTTGCGCGGTCGTCGTAGGTGGTGTGACGCTTAGTGCGACGGCGGCGCTGGCCCGAGCCTATCGACTTCCACATCTCGGTGCCCTCCTCGGGCTTGACCTTGCGCGGGCGGGCCGAGACGATGGAGCGGTAGAGCGAGCGACGCGCGCGGCGATTCGAGTCGCTCTCTTTGCCCGAGCCGTCGGATGAGGCCGAGCCTGCAGAGTCGTCATCGTCCGTCTTGAGGAACGAGGACTCGATGATGGAGGAGACGAGCGAGGCGGCAGGCTTTTCAGGCGACGATGGCGGCGGGGCAGCAGCCTTGCCCTTGCCCTTGCCCTTGGCCTTGGCTTTGGCGGCCTTTTTGTTCGCCCTGCGCATTTGCAGCTGCTTGCGCAGATACTTTTGGATGGCCTTCTTGAAGAGCGGCATGGAGACAATGTCCGAGGCCGTGGGGCGGTCCTGCGGCGCCTCGGCGAGCATGCGCATAGTGAGGTCGATGATCTCTGCCGAGTAGCCGAGCGCCGGGTCGACAGGCTCGAGCGCGTAGGAGACGATGCGTGAGACGACGGCGGCGATGGACGAGCCTGGAAAGGCGCGGGAGAGTGTGAGCATCTCGTACAGGATGCAGCCGAGCGACCAGATGTCCGACTGGGTGTCATACTCCTCCGAGTTGCAAACCTGCGGCGAGAGATATGACGGAGTTCCGGTGACGGTAGACGTCAGGTTCTTGGTCCCGGACAGCTCCTTGGCAACGCCAAAGTCGCCGATTTTGACCATGCCCTCCGAGGTGAGGAAAATGTTGCGCGGCTTGAGGTCGCGATGGACGACGTTGGCGGCATGAACGTGCTTGAGACCGAGCGCAATCTGGGTAAACATCCGGATGACAAGGTCCTCCGGCAAGTTCTCACCCTCGCGAGACTCGAGAAGCGTTGCCAGGTCGCCGGCGTCAGCGTGCTCCATGACGATCATGAGCGTCGGCCCGTGGATAAACGAGTCGATGTAGCGGACTACGTTGGGGTGCTTGAGCGACCGGAGAAAGTAGGCTTCCCGAGTCGCAGACTCTGCCTCCTTCTCCGGCATGTTGTAGATGTTCATGAGCTTAATAACCACCGTGGTGCCCTTCTTCTTGTACGTCGCCAAGTGGACGTCGCCCGCAGCTCCGCGGCCCAGCCTAGCCCCAATCTCATAGCTCTTGTACTTGTCCGACGACATGTCTCAAGTACTCTACCACGTAGCTACCTCGCCCACCACTGTACTAAACTCCTTCTGCCTTCCAGCCCACTCCCGCCAGCTTAATGCCGAGGGAGGTGTTCTACTTTGCCCGCACCCTCCTCCCCCCCACACACCCCTGCCGCCCTCCCCCGCACAGATCAACAGAGGCAACCAAAACCGGGCCTGGCTGCAGTGACAGACAAATGGACGTCAGCATTTTTTAACACGCCAATGACACTAGGCGGATCCGATTCCTTCTGTGCCGCCACCACCGGATCCCAGTTTGAGGGCAAAAAAAAAGCCACGCGGTTTGTCTCTGAAACAGCATTTTTCTGCATAGCTACCAACAATAGCATCACAAATGAAAGGAAGGGCCGGCCGAGAATAACCCGCAGCTGAGGTCTCTCTCGGAAAACTGATTCACCGCCCCTGCACCTCTCTCCACGGTGTTGCTTGCTCGTGTGGTAGGCATGTCTGTCTCCGGCATGGACTTGCCTCCGCTCGACACCTCATCACGCAACCTCTCCGTGCAACCCATCTTTTGTGGCATGCTCCTCAAGCGTGGCCAGAAGCGCAAGTCTTGGAAGACTCGTTGGTTTGCCGTCGTGGTCGACAACCAAACGCGGAGCGCGGCCTTGGTGTACTTTGTAACGCGCCAGCATGTATGTTGAACTATGGTGGAAGGTGCACGCGTGTGAGGGGGAGGGGGACATGGGACGGGAAATGGGTGAACAAGTGTGCTACACACATGATAGGCCAAGTCGGTACCGTGCTTCGACTCTGCTTCGACTTGGTTTGCCCCTGCAATGCCGCCACGTGGGTGGGTTGCCTGTGGGCCGCCCGGCGTCAGTCGCTCGGTTTTTTGCGCCCGAAACGAGCGTCAGCCGCACGCGCAGCCGGTTTTGTAGGAAGGCTTGTACCATCCACATTGGTCAACGCCGAGGAATGTTCTGGGAGGCGGTAGCAGACTGCAGAGCTAGTCAGAGAGTGTAACTAACCAGAAATGATGTGTGCGGTGCTGGGGGGGCCGGGGGGGGGTGCGTGCTGGGCCTTTGTGACCTGGCGTGCGTGCTTCGTTGGGTGGTACGGGGGTGGCGGGCGTGGGGGCGTGACATGGCTCACAGGCGCGCGGAGGGTCTCGTGGCAAGCTGCGGCTCAAAGCGGCCAAGGGCCTCATCTCGCTTCGTGGGTCTGTGGTGAGCAAGACGCCCGCAACGATTTTCAAGCGCAAGCATACGTTCCACATCCGAACGCGCAAGGGCAAGGACTACTACTTGGTGGCGGCATCTGCAGTGCTGCAGGCTCGGTGGCTGGCAGGCCTTACTCGGGTCAGCGGCTCGTCGTTGGACGACGAGCTGGTGGCGATGGTGTGCAAAGACGTGGAGATGGCGCTCAACATGGAAGTTGCTGTGGGCGGGCGGTCTGCGCCGGGCTCGCCGAACACGCCGCTCACGCCGCTGCTCTCGCCGACATCCGAGTGGCCGGCGGAGACTGACAATGTGCTGTACTTGGCCAACTCGCGACAGAGCTCATTTGTGCGCAAGCGATACACGATGTGTGATTTTGAGCTTCTCGCCAACCTGGGCTCGGGTGCATTTGCCAAGGTCGTGCTTGTGCGTAAGCTTGACTCTGGCAAGCTCTACGCCATGAAGATGATCTCCAAATCGCGGCTGAAGAAGGACAAGCAGGTTCAGCACACGCTTGCCGAGAAGGAGGTTCTCGGCAAGCTCCATCACCCGTTTATCGTGCAGATGCGGATGGCGTTCCAGTCGGTGACCCGTCTGTACATGGTGCTCGAGTACGCCGCCGGCGGCGAGCTCTTCTACCATCAGCGGCAGCAGGGCCGGTTCTCGACGCCGCGGGTCCGGCTTTACGGCGCGGAGCTTGTGCTCGCGCTGGAGGCCATCCACGACGCCGGCTTTGTCTACCGCGACCTCAAGCCGGAGAACATTCTCCTCGACGCCGAAGGCCACGTCAAGGTCACCGACTTTGGCCTTGTCAAGCAGATTTCCGACTCGGTCTCGGGCGCGACAACCTTTTGCGGCACGCCCGAGTACCTGGCGCCCGAGGTGATCAAGGGTCATGCCTACGGCCTCGCTTTTGACTGGTGGAACCTTGGCATCGTCCTCTACGAGCTGTGGTGCGCCAACACGCCGTTCCTCGGGCGGACAGACCTCGAGGTGTACGAAGCCATTCTCGCCGGCAAGATCGGGTACCCGTCGTGCATTCCCGACGATGGTGTGGAGCTCTTGGAGGCGCTCCTCTGCCACGACCCGATCGAGCGGCTTGGCGGCGGCCGCCGCGGCGCATCCGAAGTCAAAGCCCACCATTTTTTCGCGCCGCTCGATTGGTCGCGTGTCGCCCGCCGCGGCTACACGCCCGAGTTTGTGCCGCCGACCGCTGTCCTCGACGACGCGCTCAACTTTGATCCCGAGTTTACCAAGGAGGCCGTCTCGCCAGGCGACGCCGAGTTTACCCCCGCCTCGTCCGAGCAGCGCGCCTCCGATTTTGGCGGCGCCTTTCAGGACTTTTCCTACGTCTCGCCCTCCTCGTTTGATGACGACTGCACCGAGCCATCCAAGTTTAACGTGCTCGAGTCCTCGTTCCATCGTGTCGACAATGACGACGACGACTTTGATTCCTCGTTACAGCTGCCCCTCTCGCCCAGTGCGCCGGACGCGCCGGATTTGCCCAAATGGGACGTCCAGCCCAAGCTCCCGTCGCTCCTTACCAAGTCATCGTCCGACTTTGGCTTTAGTGGCGTCACCTCGGGCTCGAGCTCGGCCATGCTCTCCAATCTCACCACCATGTCGTCGTCGACTCTCAATGAGTCGGCTGCGGCCAAAGGGCGCGCTCATGTCGTTGATAACGAAGCCAATCTCGCCGACGACGGCCGCCATGCCACTCGCCGCCACACCGCCAAGGCCAAGGCAAAATCCAAGGACAAGGACAAGGCAAAGTCCAAGGACAAAGCAAAGTCCAAGGCAAAGGCAAAGGCAAAGGCAAAGTCCAAGGACAAGGCAAAGTCGAAGAGACGCCCGGATGCCTCGACGCCGGCAACGCCGCTGCCGTCGGCCATCCCGATGGCCTCGTAAGTGTGCAAGGCACTCTTGCGGGACTGATTCATGGCAGATTCATCAAACACTCTGTAGTCTCGTTTCTTGGGGGATTGCAGCGCAGGGCGCTATGTGGCGCGAGACGACGAGGCACCGCCGAGGCCATCGTTGTCGTCGTCGCCGAATGGATCCAGAAACTCGAGGACCGAGGCCTGCAGCGCCTCGCGGAGGGCTATGTCCTCGGCCTGGGCAGACTCTGCAAGCGATGACTCGATGGCCGCCTGCAAGAAAGCGTCGTCGGGCACGGTCGGGCTCGCCGGTGCCACATCCATGTCGACCAGGGAGGCCTGAAGTGCAGCCTGCAGCTGGGCGTCATCGACGGCGTTGTTCTCCGACTCTTGAATGACATCGTCCATGACGACGGCAGAATACAGCTGGGCCTCAGCGTCCTCCAGCTCGGACTCTTCCTGGGCGCGTCGGACGAGCCGAGCCTCGGCCTCGCCCGGCGTGCTCAGCTCGGGGAGGCCGAGACCAACGCAAAAGTTGGGCGCAGCAGGGTCGATGATCGAATTGTAGTGGTTCTGTGAGTGGTAGGAGAGCCGGATCGGCGGGTTGGTGCTCGACGTCGAGCGGCCCTGAAAGGTGTTGAGTGGGACCGTGTCGTAGGCATACACCTCGACTGGCCGGTTGTAGATCTCAGACATGGCGTGGATCTCGGCATGGTCGCCAAACACCCGCAGCTGTCGCTTGTGACGGATGTAGGCATCAAAGTCGCCCGCCACAAACTGTGCAAAGTGCTCGCGATTCCGCGCCATCCAGTCCATCGTCTGCTCACGGACAAGATCGTGCCGCTCGGGATCGGCCCATACCTGATGGGCTACAGCCCGGAATAGGCAGTTGCCATCCTCGGCCATCCGCTCAATGACAAAGCCACGCTCCTTCCGCAACTCCTCCTCAAACTCTGCCTCGGACATGTCCTGCCCCTCCTCCCCCCCCCCCGGCCAGGCCACCACCACCAACATGTACCACACGCCATGCACGCAACAGACACAGCATGCGGCATGCACAGCATGAAACCAACCGCAGCAGAACAGCCACACAACGAGAACAGCCGCACACACATGCACGCACACACACACACACACACACACATATCGAGAACAACCCCCACATCGAGAACAGCCCCCACATCAAGGTCTTTGTGTGAGTTTGGAACGTTTGCCCGCGTCGGCTCGGCTTCTCTTCCCTTCCCTTCTCCTTGGACACAAACGCACACCTTGTTCCAGACACTCTACCATGCCCACAGACGGCAAGGATGACACGTACATGCTCTACGGGACAAGCAGACATCCGTAGCTACCTGGAGTGGTGGGTCAAGTCAGGTGTTCCTCACAAAATGCCAGTGCCCTTGCCCATCATCGCCATTCTGTCCTCTCGCCCTCCGGTCGCCACCGTCGCCGTCTTTCATGTCGCAATGCACCGCACCGACTAAAGTCGCGAGCACAGGATGGACCATCGCGATGGCTTGGGTTCTTGGTGTGGGTGGGCTGATCTTTATAGTGATCTTTATAGCTGGTAGAGAATATATGCCGATACCCTTTGCAGCTCACTGTAGCTCACTGTAGCTCACTGGATCGCCCCCTAGGTGTCCTCGCCCTCTAGTCGCCACCGTCGCCGTCTTTCATGTCGCATTGCGCCGCCATTGGCTTGCCCATGTACTCAGCACAGGCAATCGATGGAAGGCAAGACAAGAGCATGAGCCGTAATGCCTGACACACTACCACCGCTGTTACCTCCTCAGTAAGCTACGGGTGGTAATCCTACATCCCCTGCTCGCATCTGCATGCATCGCCGTCAAGTCGCATGGCCAGCACGATGGCTATGACGAGTACGATGAAAAGGGTGATAACTGTGATAACTGTGACGACTGTGATGATGATGAGGATCAGTCTTGATGGCGGGCAGGTGGATGAGATGAGATGCGAGTAGGGAGGGAGAGAGAGAAAGAGAAAGAGAAAGAGAGAGAGAGAGAGAGAGAGAGAGAGAGCGGCGAGGGTGAGGAGATCGACGGATGAAGATGATGACAATGAGTAGAAGCCACGACGCTGTGAGCTCAAGTCTTCCCGCCGGCTGTGTCACTCCCGTCACCACCACCGGCCACCACTCCTCTTCCACCGCAGCAAGGTGAGAGAGAGAGAGAGGCCGGTAGCAGGAGAGGATATAGGTAGAGTGAGAGAGTGAGTGAGTGAGCCCACCGAGGTCAGAAGGAAGTCACGTAGGCCCACCATGTTCGGCAAGTTGGGCAAGTTCATGGAGTCGGCGTCCAAGCTCGTGACGGGCAAGGCAAGCAACCCGGTTGACGAGTTTACCACTCTGTGGTCGGAGATCAATGACTTTTTCACAAGGCCTCATGATGGTACGTAGGCCACCCCCCCCCCCCCCCACCTCCCCCCTTCTCTCGTGACCCAGGTCATGCTCACTCACGCCCCCCCCCCTCCCCCCCCCCCGTCCCCCACACGCCCTCCCTTCATCGCTCTGCCAGAGGACGTGCCGGTCAAGGAGACGTCACTACCGTGGCGATTGGAGCGGATGCTCAATGTGCTGGTCAAAGAGCAGGAGAGGATGGCAGAGGCGGGAGCAGCGGCCAACGAGAGTGAGGATGCAAGCGCGTCGGACAGCAGCTCGCGGTCGTCAAACTCGAAGCGCCGCCGTCGTCCAAAGGCCTCCATCGCTGCAGGACCATGTATGGAAGAGTTCATCGAGAAGCGCATGCTGCAGACGCTGTATTCGTTCGCCAAGGCCAACTACCCATATGGCATGCACGCCCTTGTCCTCGACTTTACCGCCGAGCTACTGAGCAACTCGCAGACGTCGCTCATCCCGCACGTCGGCATCCATGCCCCACTCAACAAGCTCATCGACGCCTCGCTCGCCTCACGCGACGCCCGCTACTTTACCAGCTTCCTCAAGCTTCTTCGTGCGGTGTGCAAGGTCCTCGTCCGCGACCCCTCGCTCATCCAGTTTATGATTGTTGAGACCGCCGATAGCCCGCCGACCATGCCTGTTCTCGTCGGCCTCGGCTACTCGATGAACGTCGAGGTCGAGCAGAGCTCCGACGCACGCGCTCGCATGGGCACCATGGCCCGCTCCGCCATCCTTGCCCTCCTCACCACCCCCTCAGGCCGCCTCCGCAGCGCTGTCCTCGCCGCGGACCTGCCCGAGTCGATGGTTAAGGCACTCGGCGCTCTCTTCGCCGCCCTCCCGCCCGCCGAGTCGGCTGCCGACGCCAGCGCCAACCCGCTCCGCACCGCCCTCCAGGACCAAGCCGAGTTTGTCGGCAACGTCGCCCGTCTCGGCGGCGGCTCCATTGCCCGTGCTGCCGCCAACGCCATCACCGCCTCGTTCCTCGGTCCCATCCTCGGGCCGGCGCTCGAGGCCACCATCGACAATCAGGCCGAGACTGCCATGCGCAACGCTGCCGTCGTTGTCCGCGCCCTCGGCCACCCGGCGCTTGTCGACGCCCTCGGCGCCTTCCTCTTTGGCCCGGGCGCGCCGCTCCGCAGCACACTCATCAACCGCGTCGAGGCCATGTCGGATGCCGTCGCACTCGCCGCACTCGATCTCTTTGTCGCCCTCCTCAGCGGCTACTCGGGCTGCGTCCTCGAGCACCTGGTCCTGTGCGAGCTTCGTCCCGCCAGCGACCTCCTCGCTCCGCTGCACGAGCGGACCGGCGGCTCGCACAACGCACTCGAGGCCTTCCTCGCTCTCGGCGTCGTCCACAACCCGTCGTCGCAGCCGCGTCTCGACTACGAGGGCTACCTTCTCGACGCCCATGCCCGCCTCGCCGCCTGCCTCCAGGCCTATACCCTCTCGCGCGAGCAGGCAACCGAGCTTGTCGTAGCTGCGCCTCCCGCCGAAGGCGGCCCGCCCGAAGGCGCCTTTCTTGCCGTCATCTTCAACCGCCTGGAGGCCCTCCTCGAATCGCCGCTGGAAATCAACCTCGCAGTCACGCACATCGTCTCGCTCCTCGCCGTCTACCCCTCTGAGCTCCTTCATGCCGTCTTGCTTAATCCGTCGCCGCTCCGCGCCGGCGCCGACATGCGCACCCTCTACGCCATCCTCGCCCAAGTCGCCGACGAGATCGCAGGCCGCTCGCGTCGCCAGAACGACTTTGCCGCAAAGCTCGACGCCGCAAAGCGCTCACTCGGCATGGACACCGCCCGCGGCGCCGGCGCCGAGGCCGAGGCCCGCAAGCTCGACACCTTTGAGACCTTTGGCCGCGAAGACTTTCTGCATGGCGTCCTCGTCTTTGAAGAGTTCTGCAAGGATCTCGCTGGCGTTCTCCTCGCCAAGGCGCCGCTCGCCGCCGCACCGCCGCCCACAGCGCCGGCCTGCGACCCACTAGCTGCCGAGCTCCTTGCCGCCGTCCTCGAAGCCGACGAGGCCGAGGAAGAGGCCGCAAGCACGCCGTTGACCTGACGCGCGCGCGCCAGCGTTGGTGCATAAACCGTGCCGGCTAAAGGGAAGAGCGAGTGATAGGATACGTGTGTTGTGTACTGCTTTGCCATCAGGCGTCAAAGTCGATGTCCTCGTCGGGCGAGGTGATAGGGATGGCGGACCAGAGGGTACGCTCGCGAGAGCCGATGACTCCGTCGTCGTCGTCGTTGCGGGCAATGGAGCCGTCGGCATACGGGTTGTCGCCGCCGCGCTTGACCATGCCGGCCATGCCGAGGCGAGCTTCGAGGGCCGAGGTCTCAAAGTCGTCGGTAGAGCCGAGCTCCTCAAAGCCGACCACGCGGTCGATGCAGACGCCGTCGCGGAAGCAGACAATGGTGGGCAGCATGCGGATCTTGAGCTTCTCCACAAAGAACGGGAAGTTCTCCACGTTGCACTTGATAAACTTGGTATGGAAGTGGCGCGGCGCGAGGCGCTCCAGATGATCGTCGACAATGCGGCAGCGGTTAAAGTCCGAGTGGTAAAAGTGAGCCACAACAAGCTTGGTCTTGGTCACCAACTCCAGAAAGGCCTCCTCCGGAACCTCATTGTACATGCCATGCTGTGCCGACTCCTTTGCCCGCACCTCCATGGCCTTCTTCCTCAGCTCGGCCAGCCGCCGCTCACGAATCTTGGACAGATCGTCATCGTCCTCAAACTGCTCCTCCTTCTCGGCGAGATCCTCTTCGATAGCACGGGCAATACTATCCATTGTCCGCCCATCGACACACATACACACACACACACACACATACACACACATGAGTCATCTTCTCCCTCTCTCTCCCCCCCCTCATCGTCTTGTGTGTCCTCTGTCTGTCTCTTGTACGTACGCTGATGTTGCCGACTGTCGCCCATTCGCCCACGGCCCACGACCAGGTAACCCCCCCCGCACACACCCATACACACACCGTGAGTCAAGGAAGGGGGGGGAGAGAAAAGGGGAGGGGGAGAGAGAGGGGGGTATGGGGAAGGGCTCGTACCATGTGGGTGGGCTTGGGTGAGGTGTATGTCTCCCTGGTGTGGTGGAGGGAGGGGGTGGAGGTGGGTGGCGGGAAAGTGGGAAGATTCTGGCGCCACTTGGCCAAAAGGCCACACGTAGCCTGTCTGGAAGAGGGGGGGGGGAGGGGAGGGGGGGGGAGGGGGGAGGGGAATGGCTGGGGGAGGGGGGGGGGAGTGAGAAGGGAATCGGATCATGGCTTGGATTGTCATACGCGACTTGGATTTGGATCCGATGATTTGGATCCAGAAGGTGCAGCGGCGGGGGGGGGGGAGGGGGGGGGCGAAGGGAGATGATGTAGTTCACTTGGTCATGGAGGCCAAGATGAGCACGAGAGGACAGAGATGAGAGGCCTGGAGGCAGGTGGTCAACTGAACGAGCGCAGAGCGACAACAGTTGTAACACACACCGGCCTTAATCATGCCCATCAGGTACGTCACACACGCAAGACACGCACCACCGGCCACAAACCACAGATCCACAACCAGTGCCCGGCCGAGCCGAGCCGAGTCGAGTCGAGGGCGAGCAGAGCCGGGTCGAGGGCGAGGGCGAGGGCGAGGACAACGATGGCAAGATGGGGGTGAGTGGGGTACAGTGGGATGATGTTGACGGTCGGGAGAGGTGGTGATGGTGGAGGTGGTGATAGTGGTGGTGGTGATAGTGGTGGTGGTGATGGTGATCGGGACGACCACCTATGCCCACCAACACCATGGCGACGATCAAGCCGAGGCGGCAGCAGCGCCGTTCTTAACAGCGGCAGCAGCAGAGTCTGCCACAGGGAGGTAGCCCTGGACAAAGGACTTGATCTGGTTCCAGACCATGATAGTCATGTCCATGGACGAGTAGCCAGTGTAGGCCACAAGCAGAGCATCATACTGGGGATAGACGACAGAGACCGAGTACCCGACAGCCAGCACAGCCAGCACCATAGAGATATCTACACACATACACATACACATACACACATACACACATACACACATACATACATACATACACATGTGAGTACCATTGCATGTGCTTGACGGGTGGTGCTTGGTGCTTGGTGCTTGGTGGTGGTGGTGATGGTGGTGGTGGTGGCCCTCTGGAGATGGCGCCCGCAACGCCCCCCCTCCACCCCCTCCACCCCCCCCCCCACACACACACACACACATATGCAACAAAAGGAGAAAGATATTACGTACAGCAGATGGCCTTCTCCCATGGCTCAAGCATGTACAGTCCTGTGCACAGCTCAAACTTGTAGCGGCGTGCTCGGAGTGCTGTCAGCATGGTATGTGACACGTGGCGGACAGAGAGCAGTGGTGGCTGCCGCCGCCGCAGACTGTCGCCCACGGCCGCAGACTGTCGTCGAGTGCCGCCGCCTGCTGTGTGCCGCTGCCTGCTGTGTGCCGCCGCATGTTCATTCAACGCTGGCCACAATCGTTGCACAGCATCGGCTCGGCAACAAGGTCGTAGACCGCATCATGTTCACTGCCTCACCTCGCCGCAAATCGGGCCGGTGCCACGACATCAGATCAGGCTTGGGATCGGCTTGGATCCGTCTCCCGCCACTGCCTCTATCAGGATACCGCGGGGATGGTTCAGCCCTTGCCGTCGCCGTCGCTAGAGCGCGCAGGGATGGTATCCGGGGACCAGTTAGGCAGAAAGTCCTCCATCCACTGTTGAAGCTCCGGTGAGTCAGGTGCAGCAAACTGGGTCAGATCGCCCAACTCAGGATGCTCCACGGCCTGACGGGCAACAGCAGCCTTAAACACTACTACCGCTTCGGCGGCCACAGCGCTTTCCACCGCCATCGTCGCCACCGCCGTCATGGCCATGCGTCCGTCCGGCAGAGCGGCGTGGATGGCCGATGCGACATCGCCGCCACTCTCCTCGGCCGTCAGCTTCACCTCTGTCTCCAGCACATGTCCCGGCAGCACCGGAGCGCGGAAGCGGACCGATGCCAGCCGAGAGACCGAGAGCGCAGCGATGCGAGCACCCACTGCCTCGGCCGCCGCCACAGCCGCCGCCGCTCCGGTCTGAATAGCAGCCTCGGTAAGGTACACGCCCGGCACGATGGGCTCGTCCGGAAAGTGACCTTCTAGAAAGTCCGACGAGTGCGACACAGCTGTCCGCCCTCTAGCCATCGGCACCATCGGTGCCATGCCCCAGCATCCGTCTCACCCGCCTCGCCCGCCTCGCTCGCCTCGCGCGCTCCCGCCACAACCTCCACCGCGTCCACCACACGCCGGGCACCCCGCGGCGCCAACAGCTCCAGCGCCTCCTCCAGCACACCTCCTCGGGCCCAACTCGACATGCGCATAGCCCTCGCCGTCTGCACGAACATCGCACTCTCCGCAAAGTCGAGTCATGCCTCTCCGCTCGCTGTCGGCGTGTGCGCTCGTCGCGTCGTTCGGGCATCCGCTGCTGCCAGGCGCACCCCCGTTTACTCTCATCTGCTTGGACACGCTGCACCGACGGATCATCACTACCCACTCCGATCAAAGACAATGGTCCCTCCGACAACCGTGAGATCCACTCGTGCGGAGCGGATGGCCTCGGCATCGTCAACGGCAAAGAGATCGGTGTCGAGGAAAGCCAGGTCGGCGAGCATGCCTGCTGCGAGCTTGCCTTTGTGGGCCTCGTCAAAGGTGGCGTACGCGGCGTCGACAGTGTACGATCGCAGCGCAGTCTCGACATCAATACACTGCTCTGGAATCCAGCTCGGCTTGCCAATGCCGTCGTTGCCGGCAACTCGCCGGGCAACTGCGGCGTAGATACCCTCGAGCGGAAGCGGTGGCGCCACGAACCAGTCCGAGCCAAAGGCAAGCTTGATGCCGGCGTTGGCGAGCGAGTTCCAGGGAAACGCTAGCTTACACCGCTCCTGGCCGATGACTGCCTCGGCCCAGCGCCCGTCGTCGGTCGCATGCGTCGGTTGCATCGATGCGATGACGCCTAGCGCCGCCGCACGCGCCACGTCTTCCGACAGAAAGTGCTGCGCGTGCTCGATGCGGAACCGCCGATCGCGCTTACCGTTGACGGCCACAGCCTCCTCAAAGATGTCGAGCAGCTGTGAGACTGCCTCGTCGCCGATGGCATGGACCATGACGTGCAGCCCGGCGGCGTCGGCAGCCACGATCCAGTCGCGCATTTGCTCGCGCGGAAAGAGCGCCAGCCCGCGCGAGCCATCGTCGCTGTCGCTGAACGGTTCGCGGAAAAGCGCCGTGTGCGAGCCGAGCGAGCCGTCCATAAAGCCCTTGAGCGAGCCAAAGGTGAGCCACGGTGAGTCGTTGGTCTCGACTGCCAGCTCGACTGCCAGCGATGTGCCTGGTGCCAGCTGCTCCCACTTGGGCAGCGGGATGGCGGCGTAGACCCTGGTCCGCAGCCGCGCCTCGGCGTGCGCCGCTCGCATCACGTCGATGCCCTCGAGCTTTTGACTGGGAATGCCTACATCGACTCCCATGTCCACCACAGACGTCACGCCCTGCTCGGCCACGTACGCCATGGCTGCTTCCAGTGCTGCAGTCGTCGCCGCCGCCGGCGGAAAGCTCATCGCGTTCTGCACCAGCGACATGGCGTTGTCGCGGAAGAGCCCCGTCGGCACGCCAGAGCCCGTCTCTCGCTCGATCACTCCACCGTCGATATCCGCCGTCTCGGCCGTGATCCCTGCCAGCGCCATCGCTGCCGAGTTCGCCACCGCCATGTGCCCATCGGCCTGCGAGAGAAAGACCGGCGTCGAGCCGGTCACCTCATCGATCCACGATGCGTTTGGCAGCGCGCCCAGCGCAGCATACTCCCAATCTCCGCCAGTCATCCACCCACCCTCGGGCACCCGCGCCACAAACGCCGCAACTGCTGCAACAAACGCGTCTTTGGACGCCACGCCACGGAGCTGCACCGACGAAAGCCGAAAGCCGCCGTCAAGAAAGTGGACGTGCGAGTCGATAAAGCCTGGGACCACCATCGGCACATGACGAAGGACGCGAGCACCCGCTGCAACCACCGCAGCCTCGCTCGCATCCGCACCATCAAGTCCAAGCGCCAGCGCCAGAGCAGCAATCACAGCATCGCCATCATCGCCCACAGCAATAATTCGGTCGCCGGCCGTTGCAAGCGCACTCGCCCATGGCGCCTTGGCCACACCCGTCCAGATCTTGGACTCGAGCACAAGCAGCGAGCAGGTAGGGAGGTCCATCTTTGCAAACCAAACGCGTCTGATTACAGGGCGCAGAAAAGTATGTCTTTGCCGCGCTGCCTTGCTCAGTCTGCATGCCTGTCCCGCTGCGTGCGCACGCTGTGCCACGTCAACTCACAGCAGGGCTATTGTCCGCCTGCCGGGACACGACGAGAGAGGGCCACCGCCACGCCCCAAACACATTGCTCTTCCTCCTACTCGCCGCATTTAAGGTCATCGCCGTTGGGAGAGAGACCGATCAGCGGTGTGCGACTGCGATCCTTTCTCCCGTCGGCGTTCTTGACTGTGCAGCCGGTCTCACTGCCTCTTGGTCTCGCTCGCAAGACTCACCACATCCAAGAACCTGCACACGGCAGGCGAGCGACTGTCGATGACGGCAGCGATGACGCGGTCATAGAGGCAGAGCGCCCAAGCGATGACAGCAATACTCAAGCTCGCCATTCACATCATCACCCAATACCTCTGTCAACGATATCACCCCAAAACTGGCTCCCTTCCCTCCATCCCTCATCCCTCATTGCTTCCTTTGCCTTCCATCTCGGATGATGGAAAGTCTCAAGTGCGTGGCGGTGAGGTCAGCAGAGTTGGCAGCGGCGGACAAAACCGCAGTGGCGGAGCCACGCCTTGCACCCATCTGCTCTTTCGGCAACGGTCGCGCGAGGTCGAGGCTTGCTGTATGCGGCGGCATGGCCAGGGACAGGGCCTGCGTGGTCGTCCGCGACCTGCTCCAGTGGTTGTTCCTGGGGGACTGGCCGTCAATGGCGTTGCTGCAAGTCCAGCCTGGGCATCATCACCTGGCTCGGCCACTTCGGCCGCTCTCTCGCCAATCTCGCCGGGCTACTGGTCGCCAGTCTCTCCCGGCTATGTCTTTGCTGCTGGTTATGGAAGCTCGCCTGGCTCTTGTCGGCCCTCGTCGAGCTATGATCCCGAGCTGGCGCTTGCTACTGCTCTCTCGCTGTCGCAGGCCGAGGCTGATGGTGTCGAGGTCGACGCTTTGGGAGACGATGGCTTGGTGAATGCAATGCACTATGATCAGCCCGAGACGCCAACAACGCCGACGTTGGACTATGCTGAGGAGCTGGCCTTGGGCTACCACAATCGCAAGGAGCGGTTCTTCGTCGCCCGCAACCCGGGCTATTACGACTACCGCTACCGCTACCAGAACGTGGCTCATCCGTGGCACCGACGGCTCGCCGTCGAGGTTCTCAACGATCCGCTCAAGCAGAGCGATGCTGACGCGAATGAGGCCGAGGATGCGGCTGCTGAGAGGGATGGCAGTGATGTTGTAGACGGAGATGACAAGGGCGCAGATAGGGATGATGCCTCGAGCGCCCCGGCTTCAGAAAGCCACGGCGAGCTGACCAAGAAGGCCGTCCATCAAGTTTCATCGTCGATGCGCACCCCGGGGCTGTTCCAGAACGAGTTTGTCCAGCTGGCCAAGAAGACATTTGCCCAGCAGAACAACTCGGTGACAATCAGGTCGATCCAGCCTGCGCGGGTCAATCCCGGCCTGCTCAAGAGATTTGTGACGACCGCCCTCACCAAGCGGGTCATGCCGTCGGTGGTGGCGCATGGGACGCATGCCCAGAACATGACATCGATCCTTCAACGCGGGCTCATTGTGCCCGGCAGGGACGGAGTGAGCGTCGTCAACGGCTCGGCCTACGGCGTCGGCATCTACACGGCGACCCAGCTCTCGACGCCGGCTGCCTATGCCCGTGGCTATGTCAACGAGCCGCAAGTTCTGATCTGCGGCCTCATCGACAACGCCGTCAAGCCGGAGACTATTGTCGCACCGCTGCTTCCGCCACCATCGCCGTCGTTGGCAACTGCGTCGTCAGAAGCCTCCATCCCGTCGCATCCTGTCCGTGGACACGTCGTCCGCAAGGCCCAGCGTCAGGCGGCCGCGGTTGCCAAGCGCAATCGGTCGCACCGTGGCGCAAAGGCGCGCAACTCGAGCAAGGGAGGCATCACATTCGCACTGTCCGCCTCGTCCACTCCGCGCCTTGCCAGCAACGGCTCCATCAAGCGAGTCTCGAGCTACCGCATCATCAACGATGAACGGCTGGTCCTGCCGCTCGCGGTTGCCACCATCGACGGACGCCACAACCGCTGGAGCAACACCCGCCCCAGAACCTCCACCAAGCCTCTCGACTACGCCCAGCATCTCGATAGCTGTGTGCAGCAGGCGCGGGCCGCCAACGTTCCGCCATCGAACATCCATCCCGAGTCGCTCCTCTCCGTCCCTTGGGGACGGATGGCGGTCTCTGCCATCCGCCACACCCGATCACGCCACTCTCGTCGCGAGTTCAACCGCATGCGCCGGCATCATGGCCCCCACATGTACCTCCCCCCGTCGCCATAACCTCATTTCACCCTTGTACCCACGGGCTCTTGATAAACCCCTCCACCCCCCAACCCCCTCCTCCAACCAGTCCGCCCCCCGCCCCCCCCCACCGCCGCTCACCGTCCCGCCTCGGTCACGCACTCGACTATGGCCATGCTCCCGACGCAGACTCCCGCCTCGCGGGCCTCCCGTCTCTCCATAGCCATCATGCGTGCAACTCGGGTAGCGCTTGTCTGCTTCTCGGTCGTTCTCCGGCTCTTCTTTGCCATAGTGGGCGTGGTGGGGCGAGCCGGTGCTGGGCTCGTCCGCGCAGGCCGGGCCGATTGGGCCCAGACGGCGCCTGTGGTTCGTTCCGGTGGAAGCCCGGCAAGAGTTGTGGTTTTGGGTGGGGGATTTGCGGGCGCTCGTGTGGCCCGATCGCTCGCGCCGTACTTTGACCTCGTTCTCGTCGACGACAAAGACGTGTGGGAGTTCACTCCGTCGGTCCCACATGTCGTCGCCGATCCGGCCGCGGCGTCCCGCCTCGCACTCCCACATGCAACCTATCTCTGTCACGGAAATGCCCGATTTGTGTGTGGCAAAGCATTGGCGGTCGCGGACGATTTCGTGCTTGTTCAGCCAGCCAGCGCCGTGCTCGACGACGCCGCCATCAAGCTCGGCTACGATTATCTGGTCATCGCTACCGGCTCACGCTACGCCGATCTCATGCCACTGAGCGAGCGGGTGCTCCCTTGCTCGCGGGTTGATCGGGTGGCCGCTGCAGCGCGGGCCATTGTGGCTGGGCGGGTCACCCGTGCCATGGTCATTGGCGGCGGCATCGTCGGCGTTGAGCTCGCTGCTGAGCTCGCCGAGGCGTACCCAGACTTTGAGGTGACGCTCGCGCACTCGGGTGACCAGCTGATGTCATCGTCACCGTCGGTGCCGCGCGCGGCTGCCGAGTATGCCGAGCGAAGTTTGTCACTGTCTGGCGTCCGGCTGGCGCTCGGCCATCGGATCACGGCACTCCCGCAAGCAGCGCCTGGCGCTCCCCACCCGCTGCGCCTCGGCGCGGCCGGCACCGACATCGAGTATGAGTCGGACATGGTGTTTGTCGCCACAGGCCTCCTGCCCAACACAGGCTTTCTGTCGCAGCCGGCAGCACCCGGCAATGCTGCGCCGCTTGCGCATGCGCTCGATGCCAAGGGCTTTGTCACGGTCACGCCGGCGCTCAACCTCGACTCTGCGCCGCATGTCTTTGCCCTCGGTGATGTGGCGGCGCTGCCCGGGGAGAAGCTCGCGCAGTGTGCCGAGCTCATGGCCGATGTAGTGTCGGCCAACATCTCTCGGCTGGAGCGCGGTCTGGGCGGCGAGTCGCTGCGATCGTACACCTCGAGCCCGGTGCCGATGATCATCTCGCTCGGGGCCTACGACGGCTTTGCCGTCCACCGCGGGTGGGTGGCGTACGGCCTGCTGCCCGCCATGTGCAAGCTTGCGGTGGAGACGCTCTCGCTGGCGATGTATGCGCACTCGTCCAACACGTGGCTCTTTTAGCGGCGGTCTACTGCATGGTCGGCACGTTGCCGTACGCGTCGGCGACGTCGTTGAGAACGGCAAAGGTATGCTGCCAGTCGTCAGCGCCGTAGTCTGCGTCGAGGAAAGCAACGTGATCGGCGGTGTTGATGCCAACGACAAACGAGCGGAGAGCGCGGATGTGCTCGGCTTGGTCGCCCGCGAGCGAGAGATGGGTAAAGTCCGAGGCACCGGTGACTGCAGCACTAGCCCACTTGCGGGCGGTCGGAGAGTAGCCGAGGTACGAGTCGGAGAGGTAGCGGTGGACGACTGAGAGCTGGCGTGGATGCGAGGTGCGGAGAATCATGGCCTCTGCATACGGCGCAGCAGCGCGAGAGAGCTCGACAAAGGCGCGGGCGCTGGCGGTGTTGCGGCCGACAAGCGCCTCCAGCTGGTCGGCGGTAGACGGTGGCTCCGACGGCTCGCCGGCCTCGCCGGCCTCGGCCATGGCGGAGCGGTAGACGTCAGCAAAGAGGTCCGCAACGGCGGCGTCGGACCTGCCCGGGGCGTCGGCCTCGGCCTCGTCGGCCGGATCGTCGTCATCCTCTGCAGCACGAGACGTTGCCGTGCGGAGGAGCTTCTGCTCAATGTGGTCCCCGAGATTGGACGGCGAGGAGCGGGCGAGCCAGCTCAGGCCGAGCGGGTTATCAGCCGGCCCGGCTCCGGACAGCCCGGCAGCCAGCTCGACCTCGTACAGCCGCGCCAGCGGGAGCAACTCTGCAGCCTGTGGCGTGCCGGGGCGAGCGTCGCTGTAGGCGCGGGCGGCGGTGTAGACAGCGTCGGGAAGCGGGGCCGACGAAGAGACCTGCGCCACTCGGAGCATCCGCGTCAGCGCCAGCGAGTGCGCCACCTCGCCGATGGAGCTGGACCGCCCGGCGTAGAGCAGCGAGATGGCGTCGAGCGCCGTGCCGAGAGCCTTGCCGGCAACAACGGCCGACCGCTCCGGAACGAGCCACTTGGAGACATCAAAGGGGAGGGACAGCGCCACGCCCGAGTCGATGGTGGCGGTGAGCGCGAGCGCGTCGTTGATGCCGCGAAGCTCAACGGCACGGCGGCGCTTGAGCGGATGGGTCGGGAGCTCGGTCTCGGGCACGGTGGCCACCATCAGGATGGGGGCCTTGGGCAGGATGTCTGACGCAAGCTGAACCAGGCCGGCGGCCATGCCGCCGTAGCCCGAGTTTGTGTTGGCCAGGAACTGGAGACCCTGCAGCGAGTCGCACGACTCTGCGAGGCGGAACAGGGAGTCCTCAATGGCCTCCCGCTCGGCAGGCGAAGAGTCGAGAAAGACGGCACCATCCGAATAGGCCTCCCAGGTCAGAGCATTGACGCGGACCTCGGGGATCTCATACAGCGATCGTGGTGCGTACTCAAACGACATGGCATCCGACCAGTAGGCCTCGGGGTTTGCGGCAGGCGCGCCCTGACCAAAGACCTGAACTTGTTGATGATGCTGAGCAGGCTGACCAGCCCATCCAGGCATGGTAGACGATGATGCGAGTTGTTCCGCAGACTGACGGAGAGCAGCGAGCTGATTATCGACATCATGATGGACTCTGCCATCACGACCGAGTCGGCCCCATGATGCCTTACGATCGATGACCAGAGCACGCGGACGGAACTTTTCCACGCCATGACTATCATGGGTAGTGTTCCACAGCACGCTTGGCTCGTACACGCCTGTGTGCTGAGCCAGCGATGAGGAGGAGAGTGACGACGACGATGATGATGGTGATGACGACGGCATGGCGTGGTCTCCGCCCGAAGCGGCTTCGGCAGCAAGGGCGGCAGCATGGCTGGCAATGCGCTCATGGTGGGCATTCCAGAAGTGTGTGGCCACATGGTTGGCAAAGTGGCCCACCTGGACTGTCAGTATCTCTCGCGGCATGGGTGGACGGTGATGTGTTGTTGGTTGGGGTGGGTGGAGGTGGAGGAGGGAAGGTTCCGTTCTGGGATGGGGGGGAGAGGGAGAGGGAGAGGGAGAGGGAGAGGGTGGCGGTGAGACCTGGTGGCGGACTGGGACTGATCGGTGGTTACGGGCGGGGGAAGGGGGACGGGGGAGACGGGATCGGGGGAGAGAGGGGAAAGAGAGAGGGCGGGGGGGGGGGGGGGGGGGAGGGAGGGAGGGAGGGAGGAGGAAGGAGCCAGAGTGGGATGGGCATCAGAGGGGAGGACCACTCGGGGTGCTTGGCTGGAGATAGGCATGAGCGGCAAGGGGGATGATGACGAACGGTAGGCATGCGGAGGTGGGGGGAGGGGGGGATGCGTGCGATGCAATGCCCTACAGATGTGCAATGGCTCTGCGACATCACGATCTTTCTCTACGGCTTAGCTATCAATGGCCAGGTGTGGCATGGAAAGACCCAGACCGGGAGATCTTTGATTCGCAGCGTCCTCCCTTCCCTCCCCCCCCCCACACACACAAACGAATGGATGAGCAGTGCCGCAGCAGATCAGGACCGTCTTTAGGGTTGGGAAAGAGAGAGGAACGCACAAGATGTGTTTGATTGGATCGCTGCATGGGTGCGGGCCATCATCTCTACAGGACCTGCGAGGTGGAGTAGCCAAAGCCCTTGGGGCCAAACTTGCTACCGTGGCAGGTCTTGCAGTAGAGGACGTCGTTCTGTACCGCCATGGTGACCGAGTCGACGCGCTTGGAGCACTCGGTGCACTTGAAGCAGGCCTTGTGGTACGAAGAGCCACCCGGGCCCAGCTGCTTCTCGGCCGGGTAGACCGACTTGTCGCAGCGCGGGCACTTGGGCGAGCCGCCAAACTTGTTGACCTTGGTCACCTTTGCGCCGCCAGCGACGGTGCCGCCAAACTTGGCGGTGCCTGCGCGGACGCCCGAGGTGGGCGGAGCGGTAGCGGTGGACGAGGCCGGCGGAGCGGAGGAGGAGGTCGTCGTCGTCGACGATGTGACCGGGGCGGCCGACGAGGCCGGGGGGCGTCGCGGGTGGTGCGAGTCAGAGTACCTGCACCCTGGCCGTAGCCGTAGCCGACAGCGCCAAAGTTGCGACCGTAGCATGTCTTGCAGTAGATCTGGCCATCACGATCGTTGATCGACGTCGAGTCCAGGCGCTTGTTGCACTCGGTGCACTTGAGGCAGGCCTTGTGGTACGCCTTACCGGCAGCCATGGCCTTCTCGGCATGATAGACTGCGAGCATTCCGCCGATGACAGAGACGACGACGATGATGATGGTGATGACAGAGCAAGGCGATTTTGATTTGCCCGACGAAAAAAGGAATTCAAGGTGAGTGAGTGATTCCAACGAAAGGGACGAGGCGAAAGGGGGGCAGGGGGAGGAGAGGGGGGGGGGGGGGGAACGGGGGAGGGGGAGACGGGCACGGCTACCTATGAACTATGCCATAGGCAGGTACACTCTCCGGCTAACATACCCGACTTGGAGCACACAGGGCACTTGGGAGAGCCACCGAAAGGCATTGTGGGCGCAGAGTGTTTGGCAGAGTTGCGTGTCTCGAAGAGTACCGGTTGGCCATTACCGTCTCTGACTCGCTACTGCTGCCAGGCTCTCTCGTCCGACCGACCGAGACGACGGGCAGACACTGCCACTGCCAGGCCGACACGATTGCCACACGCTGCTACTGCCAAACTCACTCGTCCGACCGACCGACCAACACGACTGATAGACGCTGCCGCCTTCCGATCCTCGTCTCTCTTTCTCTTTCTCTTTCTCTCTCTCTCTCTAGACACATGCCCACCACAAATACACAGAGCCAACAACAGCAAGTATTTCATGAGTATGGCTTTGGTGGATTTTCATCCATCCATCGAGTCGTGATGGCTGTGATGGCTGCAATGGCTGTGATGAGGCCAAGCATCGTCCCACCTCGAGTGACCCACAGACGAACCGTGGTACACTCGTCCCCCACAGGCTGGAGCAAGATGGTAGGCAGGTAGCATGGGCAAGGGCACCGAGAGAGAGAGAGTGTGTGTGTGTGTATATGTGTGTATATGTGTGTATGTGTATGTGTATGTGTGTGTGTGTGTGTGTGTGTGTGTGTGTGTGTGTGTGACTCACCCTTACCCATACCCCCCCTCCTTCTCCCTCCCCCCCTCCAGGCCGAGTACACCCCCTTTGGGGACCGCGCCGAGTGGGCTGATGTGGAGCCTGTGCTTCAGGATGATGGTCCCAATCCGGTGGTGCGTATTGCATACACTCCGCAGTGTACGTATCTCTCTGACTCTGTCTCTCTAGTGTCGTGCCCCCCCCCCCTCCACTCACTCTTGCTCCAGTCGAGGACACGATGAACTACCTGCGCGCTGTGATGAAGGCTGACGAGCGGAGTCAGCGCGCACTCGAGCTCACCGCAGAAGTCATCGATCTCAACCCCGAACTACACGTGCTGGCACTTTCGCCGCGCTTGCATCGACGCCCTGGAGGCCGATCTTCAGGCAGAGCTGGCGTTTACTGCAGATGTTGCCCGCGAATCGCCAAAGTGCTACCAAGTTTGGTACCACCGCCAGGCCATCGTCGAGCGCGCAGGCTCGGCCGATGCCGAGCTGGCGTTCACCGCAGAAATCCTTGCCGAAGACGCCAAGAACTACCACGCCTGGTCGCACCGGCAGTGGTCCATCAAGACTTTTGATCTCTGGGACCACGAAGACGAGTACGTCGAGTCGCTGCTCGACCTCGACGTCCGCAACAACTCGGCTTGGAACGAGAAGTTCTTTGTGTGGACCTCCGGCGGTACCGCGCAGCCGGCCGACCTTGCTGCCTCGCTCCAGGCCCACATCGACGCCACCATTGCCCGCATTCGGCGTGCACCCAACAACGAGGCTGCCTGGAACTTCCTCTATGGTATTCTCGAGCACGCCATAGCGCACGGCGCCGAAGGTGCTGCTCCCGCAGCTGCAACGACAGCAGCCTCCATCGCCGACCTCGCCGACAGCTACATCGCCTCGGCCCCACTTCGCGCCTTTCTCGTTCGCGCCTACACTATGCTTCTCGAGCCTGACGCCGACCGCCTCGCCGCCGCATCGCAGCTTGCTGCCAACCTCGCCACCTCGCTGGACACGCTGCGGGCCAAGTACTGGAACTTCCGTATCGCCCAGATCGACGAGCAGATCGCCGCCCTCCCATCAGCTGCGTAGAAACATTCTTGCTATTAAGGAATGTCCCCAATTCAATATGGCGAGAACATCATACTTCCCTAAAGCAACACGTGCTTGCACTCAAAGGCACTCCCACGCCTACGACTGCTGCTCAAACTTGAGCACAATCTTGTGCGAGCCAAAGGCATCCTCAATCACACCCTTGAGCGCGAGCGAAAACTTGGACGTCCGCTCCGAGACCTTGGACGAGACAGCAATGTTAGATTTGGTTGACGGATGCGCCACAGGGTCGAACATCCGCATTTTGAATGACGTGCCCGTCTCGCGGATCCACATGATCACCAGCTTGAGCTTGTTCGACATCGAGTTGGACTCGAGCCGGAGCTTGCCCAGCGACGGCAGAATCAGCGTCGCCTGGATGTACGAGCCGTCCGAGAGCTGGAAACGCGGCGCAAGGCTCACGTGGTCCGCAAACTTGAACACATGGACGTGCGTAGAGACAAAGTCCATGCTGTCCACCTTGAGCGACGCCAAACCCTGCATAGCCGGCGCAGGCTCGTTGGTGAGGAGCACAGACGTGGTCCGCGTCTCGAGCTCGCTTGGCTCCACCCGCCAATACAGGTCTCCCCGGAGCAGCACCCGCCCGCCGCTCTTGGTCGACGACAGCTCCACCGAGAGGTCCTCCACCGCCAACATGCCTTCGCTTCCGCGAGATGTGACCCGGACTCGCAAATTGGCGATGTACTTGACCTGGTCTGGCATCGTCACCACAATGTCGACCTCAACCTCGCCGTCGACCTCCATTGCCCCAACCACCTCGCGGAGCCGCGGCAGGACCTCGATCCGGATGAGCGACGACGGCTTATGGAGCCATGCAATGACCTCCGACGTCGCAGACGGAGCCCACGGCGCCATCTGCAGGCCAGGCGACCGCTCGTCCACAGACTTGGACTTGGCCTTTTTGGAATCACCGGCGCTGCTTCCCTCCGCGCCTCCTCCAGTCCCGATTCCGCCCGTTCCCGACAGCGCCGTGCCCTCCGAATACGAGCCTGACCGCCGCGACACAACCGTGCCATGCCCGGTGCCCAGCGAGTCACCCGGCGAAACCTCCACTATCACGTACGCAACCTCGAACGAGTTGACGCCCACCTTGTTCGTTCCTGTCGCCGACGACACCAGCGTCACTCCCTCCATCGAGCCTACAAAGTGTGCCTGCTTCACAGCCAGCGTCGGCCACAACTTGTCCGCCAGCTCCTTGACAGCAGGCACCTCTGGCATAAAATGATTTGTGTTGTACGGCGTGCCCGTGATCGACAGCGATGACATCCGCCGCACCCGCTCGCCCGTCCACTCGGGATACTCGGAACGGGTCAGCACCGGCGTCTCTGCTCTGCTACTCTCGCTGCCTGCCCGCGGCCGCGTCGCCGCGACAAGCTGGAGGCTGTGCAGCCCAGCGCCGCCCTCATCGCCCCGCCCACCGTGCGGCTCAGCCCCACCGGGGGCCTTGCTGTCATTCTCGCCTCCGCGACTGCGGCTGTGGCTGCTCGTAAGCGAAGCCTTGGAGCGGCCCTCAGAGGGTGCGCTCTTCGAGCTCGACGGGCTCAACGCCTTGACTGCCCCGCCACTTGCTTGGCTCGGCCGCCGCGACACCCGATCGCCACTGTCCCACAGGCACCACCACCAGCAGTACCAGAACCACCAGTGCCATGCCGTCCCCACAACAGGTCAACCAAGAAGCCGTAGCAAGCAACACAGTGGGTGGGAGAGAGAGAGAGAGAGGGAAAGAGGGAAAGGCCGGCCGAGCGTACCCACGCCGATCATTGTTGACGACCGCATCAAAGGCGAGAGCCAATTGCGCCCCGAGTCAAACGAACAAACGCAACGAGAGCATTCCAATATAACAACGAATGTTGGCCAACGATTAAAAATCACACAATACCATATTGACATCATTGCGCCCAATGTTAGTTGCTTTCCGCGCTCATGTGCTGCCAGCTATATGCTCGCCTGAGGGTGGGGAAGGTACGAGCCACTTGGTCATACACTAGCGAACCACGCTACAACTCCATATGCTCAATGCTACTCACATGACTGAGGAGGAGGTCAATAGCGCCAGTTGAAGGCGAGCACGCCCCCTACCACTTCCCCTCAAGACGCCCCGGTGTGGGTACAGGGAGGGGGGGGGGGGGGAATGGTATGGTTCTGGTATATGGTTACTCTTTGCCTATCTCGTCCAATATTTTACGGCCCAAACGCCCCCAAAAAAAAAAAGGGGGTGGAGAAATGGGGGGGGGGGGGGGGGGGGGAGGGGGAGGGGGAGGGGGAGGGCTTCGTACCGTGCGGCTCTCGAGGTACCACATCCCATGGTTGGTAGAGGAGGAATGTAGGGGGTTATGGAGAGGATGGATGGATAGAAGAGGAGGAATAAAGGGAAAGGAGAAGGTGTGGTGGAAGTTGGTCGTGCTGCTGCTGCTGCTGCTGCTGCTGCGCCGCGGCCAACTCTCCTCCAATGAAAGGAGACAAGCGTTGACAGTGCTGGTTGGCCGTCTTCGACTGCTGTCAATCTTATGTCAGACACACGTGTTTTCAGCAAACCGACAACACCGGTCAACGCTACCAAAGCCCTGTTTGACCTGAACAAGAGGGGGGGAGGGGGAGGGGGATACAAGGCCCTTGAGCCTGTCTTTGGTCTTCAAGCATCCTTCGACGTCGCTTAAAGTCCTGATCTGAAGTGGTAAATGTTCATCATGGGGTGACATGATCTTTGTTACTAGAGTGTTGGCCTTCTCACTAGATGTCGACGAGGATGCTTGACTTGCGTCGTCTGATGGACATCGACGTCATTGACATTGACCATGGTTGCATTCTGTGTCATACAATCGCGATATACCTTGCTTCTCTCATCGCACATTGCCCGGCCCACGCCAATGCTGATGGCTGCTCATCACATCGGCTCCCATCGACGCTCGCTAGGACTGACAGCAAGAGCCTTTGCGATTTGTTGGATGTGACGCTGTCAAGGCTAGCGTCATCGCTCGTGACTCCATCGGGCCATCGTACCGCACCGTTGGCGACTTGCCGGCTTGGCTGTGGCGGCATCAGCGACGAGAAAAGTGCTCGAGGACAGCGGCTGCATGACCAACCTCGCGCTCACGCTGGCGAGCAAACTCATCGTGCTTCCATCCCTCGCCCCACCGCGGCTTGGTGGCCAGAACTGGCTCCTCCGAGCAGGCCACAAAGTCGTGGCCAAAAGTCCCGCACCGCGAGCACGCGATCTCCCTGCGAGCAAAGTCTTTGCGCCAGTTGAGGACGCAGTCACGCTTGCGATGCTCGAGCTGCCGTGCTGCATCTGCCCGTGCTGCCTTGGCCGCCGCCTCGGCCTCGGCCTTGGCATCCAGCGCTTCCACAAGCGCTGCTGCCGCCGCTGCTGCCGCCGCCGCCTCATCAGCCTTGGCCTGAGCCTCAGCCGCCCGAGCCATCCGCTCCTCTTCGGCCGCCTGCTCTTCCGGCGATGGCTCATTGCGCGAGGGCGACGAGCCTGTGACGGTGGTATCCTCAGCCGATGACATGGCCGAGTCTGCCACCGACGACGACCTCCGAATGTTTGCCGAAGATGCCGAGCCTGACGAGCCTGACCGATTCCGTCCACTTCCCGACCTTCCCGACTCTGTGGGCCGGGTATCCATCACTGACGTTGCCCTTCTTGGCGGCGGCCGACTCTTCTTCTTGCGCGGCATGACCTCTGCTGTTCCCGAGACTATGCCACACAACCACCGAAAACACTGTGTCTCCTCCAAAGGTGACGAGTAGAGATGGGTGTGGGTGGGTGGGTGGGTGGGTGGGTGTGTTCGGTGCGGGGGCTTGTGCTTGTGGTCGCCGAACGGACTCGACTTGTGGAAGACCGTTTGTCGGTTGAGCTCGGCAGCTCGCTCCTTGCTGACCCTCCACCCACACACCCACACACCCTTGCATCGTATACCAGTCCGATGATGGCGAGAACCTCACACACACACTCTTGACCCACAATCCATCATTATTCTCTTCTATTTCTGCCTGGTTGCATCCTCATTCTGATCTTGATCACTTTAGATCATGTACACGCACGGGTCCAGTGTATGTGGGTGGGTCCGTGTGTGGTTGGGTGGTGCGCCATTGGGGCTCTTCAACACGGAGCTCAGCATCGACCCATAGCACACGCGCCATGGTCCTCTCTGACGCTCTTGATCTTTACCCCCCTCCCCCCAGAACCTCCAAGATCACCCCCCATAGATGGAATGGATGGCCATCAATGATCCATGACCCGCCATCGGTCCTCAGGCCATTGCGCGCGGTTTGGAGGAGGGCGAGGGGAGGGGGGGGGGGGGGGGGGGGGGGGCCCGCCCAAAGGCCCCCCCCCCCCCCCCCCCCTTACCCCTAACCCTCCACACAGACTCTCCCAGCACACTTCACTCACATACTCCAGTACAACTGTACTGTACTGTGGCTGTGTGTGGCTGTGTGTGTCTTGCTGGTGCACTCACCCGCTCTCTGCTTGTTGATAGCTGGCGAGGGTCCGAGGGAGAGACGACAGCCATCATGGCGACGCCTGTGCGGACGAGAGTCACCTCGCCATCAGACTACGTCAGCTCGCCAGTCAAGGTGACACTGCCGAACAAGTGGACGGAGAAGGAAGTCGAGGCAAAGGTCTTTCTCACTCGGCAGCATGAGGTGTACATGTGGATTCAAGCGGCGTTGAACGCAAAGCTGGCATCGGCTGATCTGGCTACCGTGCTGAGGGATGGCGTGACGCTCATTGCCCTCGCAAAGGCTATACAAGCTGATCTGGTCAAGGATGAAGAAGTCGTCAATGTGCCTTCCAACGCCACTGAGCGCAAGGGCAACATCCGCGCCTTTCTTCGCTTCTGCAGACGGCTCGCCATTCCCAAGCGTCGCTGCTTTGCCGTCTCGGATTTGTATCGTAAGGCCAACATGTACCGTGTCGTCAATACCATGCATGTCCTTGCCGCCCTTGCTGTCCGCCGCGGCTTTCACACGCCGCTGGCAAAGATCCATCCAGAGGACATCCTCTTCCCGCCCACCGTCCTCGCCGACACCGTCCGCTACCTTCGCGGCATCGATAAGTCGCACATGGGCGGAACGACCAAGGAGAACCTGACCGCTGCCGCCGATGGCCTTCCAGGCGTCTCGCAACACTCGCTTGCCTTTGTCCGCTCCGGCCTACCCGACAAGCACATCTCGACCGTCGACCTCAACGCGTCCAAGCCCGGCGCGCGCCCGGCGCTCGTCCATGTCTTTGACATGGCCCTTGCCTACCAAGAGGAATCACAGGATGACGACCCGCTGCCGGACACTCTCTTCCACCCGTCGCCCACCCACCGCTATGAGCCGGTCCATCCGCTGGAAATTTCCGCCGTCGCCATCGCGTCGCCGACCAACGCTCCTTCCGCCAACGAGCCCGAGGACCTCGATGCTCTGGTCGCCTCAGACCTTGACGACCCGATCATCGACGAGCTCGAGCTCTCGGGCATTGACATCGACGGCGCTTCCGAGATCGAGACCGAGGACTTGGCGCTCGACGAGCTCCCGCTCCACCCGCCGGCTGCTGACCTGCTCGACCTCGACAACTCGTCGGTCTCGCCCGTCGCCGGCTACGAGCCCGACCTCGACGATCTGGGCATTGTTGTCGAGGACGTCGGAGCAGACGACCTTGATGACCTCGGCTTGCTCGTCCTCGACGATGATGACGACATACATGTTGGTGTGCTCTCTGGTGAGCTTGCCGACCACGCTGACGACGTTCACCACAACTTTGCCCTCTCGTCCGACCACGCTGCCGACCCGGCCACAGCCTTTGAGCTCTCCGACGACGACAACGACGACGTGCTGCCCCAAGCTGCCGACCCCGACCTCGCCAGCCTGCCTCTCGTTGCTACTTCGGCCTCGGTCGCTGGCTTTGAGCTCTCCGAGGACACCCCTGCTGCAATCATGGACGCCTTTGCCATCACGGACGACGACAATGGTTCGCCCGTGCAGCAGGCGCCCGACTTTGCTCTCTCATCCGATGGCGACGACGTGCCTCCAACTCCCGCTGCTCAGGCCGCATTTGTGCTCTCGTCCGACGACGATGACGCGCCTCCTCCCCCGCTGCTCAGGCTGCCTTTGCGCTCTCGTCCGACGACGACGACGTGCCCAGCTCCGAACCGAGTGGCATCCAAGTCGCTGTCGCGCTTTTCGACTACCAAGCCGGTGCCGAGACACAACTGTCGTTCAAAAAGGGTGACAAGCTGCGGATTTACCAGGACGACGAAAACGGATGGCTGGTAGCGCAGATCGGTGAGGCGTACGGCTATGTACCGGCCAACCGAGTCTCGCTCACGGGCGCCGTCGCACCGACGTCTGCTTCCGTCAAGGCCGCCGCTCCCAACCCGACTTCGCGCATTGCGCAGCTGCAGGCCATGCTCGCCGCACAGGGAGGCGCTGGCGGCTTGTTTGGCAAGCCAACGGCGCCGCCGTCGACAGGCGGTGCCAAGCCCACCGCCGCGCCCGCCCCGCTTGCCACAGTCACAGCGACACGCGCAAAGCCGCCCGCCAAACGCCAGCCGTCGCGCAAGCGTCGGACACGGACTCGCCGCTCTTGATCATGTAAAAGGAGCCTGCCACTACTGGATGGCGCGGTAGCCCGAGGCAAAGGTCCGGCTCGGCTTGCGCCAGCAGCATCGCTCGCGCCGGGCAGCGAGCATCATCGCGGCCGCAACCCCAAACGCAGCCAGCATCCCACCGAGCGTGGCAAACAGCGCCACATAGCCGTAGCACGGTCGCGATCGCTTGAGCGAGCAGAGCCCTCCCACGTTGCCGTTGACATGTGGCTCGTAGCGAAAGTAGTTGACTCGCAGCTCGCTCGCGTGTTCGGCAACAAACACTGCTGCATCCATGTCGAGGTCGGCCAGGTACGGGATGACAAAGTCGAGAACCGAGCCGCCTGCTGCCGCCTCAAACTCGGCGGAGTTCCACTTGAAAATCGGCGAGAGCGTCAGCGCCATCGCCTGGCGATTGAGATGCAAGCCTTTGGTCGGATTGCTCAGCAGCAAGCGGACAGCGTCGTCCAGCTGGGAGTCGAGCGCCGAGCCGTCGTCGTTGACCGCAAACGCGGTCGCCATCAAATCTGGCGCCGAGACTGCGCCGGTCACCAGCGCCGCGTGCCTCCGCGCGTCAGGCACTGGACGAGCCGGATCTGGTCCCGGACGAGCCGCCAGCATGGCCTCAATCTGTGAGAGCGAGACACGAGTACCGGCAACCATGCCGGCGACGAGCTTGCGCGGCGAGACAAAGAGCGAGCCCAGATCGGCGACCGAGGTGAGCGGCGCGCAGGCGCCAATCAGATCGTGCTTGCACGGATGATGAACAAGCAGATTGAGCGCGAGCGCATTGTGGCTGTTGAGCAGTCCACCGTACGACGCGTTGCTTGGCACGGCTGGCAAGAGCCATCCGTCGTCATGTGCCACATTTGCCAGAAACTGACCAAAACCGCGAGTTGCGGCCAGCTCGGTGTACGCCACATACGTGCCGCGCATGCCCTTGAGAGTAGCCTGTTGCGAGGCAGGACCATCCAGCACCTCTTGCCATCCGGTGGTGTTGAGGACAGAGTGTGAAGCGCCTTGCACGGCCTGACTCGCCGCCACCAACAATGCGGCGAGAACGACGGCAAGGTGTGCCAGCCAGGCCGAGTGCATGCGGAGACGGGTGCCACAATTTACGGTCGGGCAGAGGCGAGGCGGGAGAGGGCGCCAAACTGGGTCTGAAGCTCGGCTTCGCGGGCGCCTTGCTGCGCCACAAGCTCGGTGTAGCTGCTGATGCGAGAGGTGAGGCCGAGCTGCTCGTCGGTCGCCAGCGCCTGGTGGCACTCCAGCTGGGTCATGGCGGTCACAATCGACTCGCCAAGCGCTGCGATTTGTGCGTCGAGCTTGGCGCACCGGTCCATGTACCCACCGACAAGGGTGGTGACCTTGGTCTCGGCCTTGACGGCCTTCTTCGACGCCTTGCGCACAGCTTCGCGGTAGTGCGAGAGCAGAGCCTTGCTCGACTCGACGTCGAGCGAGGTCTCGGCCAGCCGCGGGATGGCGGCGGCGGCGTCGACGGCCGCAGCCGCGTCGACAGCCGCGCGCGGAACAGCGGCGTATGCCTCAGCATCGATGAGCTCCATGGCGCTCATGAGGTCGGCAAGCGCCATGTCGGTGTTGGGCGGCGCCGCGGCGTCACTCCCGCTCTTAACCTTGCCCTTGCGGGTGACCGGGTGGTGGACAGCATCATGCGCGACGAGGCGGGCGGCCTCGGCGAGAATGAGGTTCTCGGCGGCAGCAAGCGGTGACGCCCTTGGGTACACGTTCTCGCTCGGGTGGGTGAGGACGGATGCAGCGGCGGCAGGTGGGCGCGGCAGACCCTTCTTGACCGGCGCGGAGCGGAGAGCGGCGGCGTCAGCGGCGGCGGCGGCAGCAGCAGCAGCGGCTGCGGCCTCACGCTCGGCGCGGTCGACAATGGTCGCCGAGCTGCCGAGCTTGGCCGGAGCGTTCTCGAGCGAGGCGTCCTCGGCAGCAGCGCCAGAGTCGCTTGGGAGCACAATCTCAAACTCGGCGTTGGACGGCTTGGGCAGGGCAGCAAGGCGCTCACGGAGCGTCGACCTCACCGCGGCGCGTTGTGCGGCGACGGCGGCAAGCAGCGCGGCTTCGTCGTGGGCGGGCGTGGCGCCAGTGTTGATGGCGAGCGAGTCGCGCAGCGGCGTCGGCGCCACAGGCGTGGCAGCCGGCCGCGGCGCCGGCGCTGGCACCGACAGCGGGAGCGTCGGCCGAATCGGAGTCGACTCGCCACCGAGCAGCGGCGTCGTCGCGGCGGTCCGGGCCTTGAGCTCAGCGGCCGCAGCCATGATGGCAGCTTGCGACGCCATGCCGGCGTGCGGCGTCGGCGGAGCCGGTGGGCCGGTGACGCCGACCCGTGGCGTGCGGAGCCCAGCTGGGCCGAGAGCCGGTGTAGCAGAGCCTGCGCCCGGCGTGGCCGCGTAGTTGGTCAGCAGCGAGGCGGTGAGTGCACCAGGGCCCGACGGCGTGGCGCCGGTGGCGCCTAGCGCAGCCATCTTGGCCGCAGTGGCAGACTCGAGCTTGGCGAGCGCGCCCAGCTCGGCGTCGGTGACCTGCGGAGCCGGGAGAACGAGCGGAGCGCGAGCGCCGCGCGACGAAAGTTCCTTGCTCTTGGCCATCTTGAGCAGGGCGCCGGTGGGATCCTTGGCACGGGCGAGCTTCTGGCGCTTGGCCTCGCGCTTGCGGTCCTCAATCTGGCGCTCCTCGGCAGTGAGGCCTTCGATGTCGCGGACCGACTTGCCGACCAGCGCGGCGGCGTTGGCTCGCGGCTTTTCCGCCGCAGGTACCTCAAAGAGGCCAGCTGGAACCGGCTGCTGGAACGGAATCTCCTTGATAAAGTCGACCTGGGCACGCTCCTTCGCCGACTTGCGCTTGGGCTTGAGCTCGATGCCGGCTGCCGAGAGCTCGCGGCGCTTCTGCAAGGTGGCGAGGCGACGAGCTTCGGCCTGCAGCCGTTCGCGCTCACGGCGGCGGTGCTTCTTGCCCTGGGTGTTTGCAAGGCGGGCGCGGGCCTCCTGGAGCATCTCCTTCTCATCCTCGGTCATGTCGATGGCGTCGGGCTTTGCAGGCTTGGACTCTGGATTTGGGTCGATTTCGCCAGCGCGGAGCCTCCGCGGGTCGTCGAGCTCACCGCCCTTGCCGGAGCCTGGCTCTGAGGCATCACCGCCTGCAGCTTGAGAGAGCAGCCGTTCATAGTGCTCGAGGCATTGGGCGGGAGTGCGACCGACGAGCGGTGCAATGGTCCGCCATTGCATGGGCATGGCCTTGGCCAAGTACAGCAGCTTCTCCTCTTCTTCCCTTGACCATTGAGTCTTCTTGATGGAAGGGTCGAGCCACTCATACCACCTTGCCTTGCACTGCTTGGCTGACTTGCGGACAAAGAGCGAGGCGACACGGGCCCAGTTGCGAAGTCCATACTTCATAATGGACGCCTTGAGCACCTCGTCCTCTGCATTCGTCCACAACCCTCCTTTGATATAGATACGCATACTCGCTTGTGCCTCCCTCTCCCAGGTACACAGTGAGCTGCTTTACTCTGTCTCTACCTCCTCTCTGCCTCCCCCCCCACCTCCTTGTTGCCTCGTCGTTTGATGGCCGAACCGATCGAGCTCGCCTCCTAGGCGGTTGCACCCGGAGGGAGGAGGGTGGGCGGGGGGGGGGGTTCAATAGCGATCTCGAAGGCGATCACGCGTAAAAGCAGGGGCAGGGGCAGGGGCGGGGGCAAGCGCACAGCTGGGGTTTAAAACGTGGCCTGGGAGCTAGTGGACCTCGTTGGCACGGCCAAAGTACCGGTTGATGTACGGCGACTTGACCTTGGAGATGTTGGGGAAGGCGTTCTGCGGGTAGTACTTGTGGAAGACGAGTTCGTCAAGAGCCTTAGTCTCCTCGGGTGAAAAGGCGTCGAGCTTGTTCTTGATGGCCTGGCGCTCAGCGCGAATGGTGTCCTTGGCGGCGGCGACGCGCTCGCGGACATGGTCTGCGAGGTCGCCGGCAAGATGCTCGGGATGGCCGGCGTCCTTGAGGTACTGAACGACAAACTCGTCGAGGTCGCCGTCGTAGCGCCAGTCGTAGTCGAAGACGGCACGGATCGAGTCGGTCTTGCCCTTCTTGCCCTTCTTGCCCTTGGTCTTGAACGACATCGGATGCATGATGGAGACGTTCGAGTCGTAGTCGCCCTTGACCAGCTGGTTGAGGCGCGGCACAAAGATGTACGGGAGGCAGTACTCGTAGCGGCGAGCGTCGACCTCGGCCATGTTCTTGACCTTGGACCGGCGAGTCTTGCACGTGAGGACGTACACCTCGTGGTCAGCCCAGTCCGAGTCGGAGGCCACCAGCGAGCGCATAGGGACCCACTCCATGCCCTGCTGTTTCATTGGCACAATGGTCTCCTCAGCCATCTGCACCGACTTGATGCCGAGCGTCGACGGGAGATCCGCGTCACCGGCCACAGCCACAAGCGTCGGGATCGGGACCACATGCGAGGTGACATCGCCCACATCCACAAGCTGCGGCTCGGTCGTGCCAAAGATGTACACCTTCTTGGCCTTGGCCAGCGCCCCGTCGTCGGCCACAAGGTCCTCGTACAGATGGTCAAAATCCCACATCCACTCGGTCTTGTACACAAGATCAAAGTTGGACCACTCGGTTCCGCAGAGGAACACCTCCTTCCATCCGTTCCACTCGGGCACAAACATCTCCTGCTTGTCGGCAGCCTATCCCCCCACCCAGTCACAGCGCCACGCACCCGAGCAAGTCGTACAACCATTCGATCAGGCCCAGTTCACAGCCCAGTCCACCCCGCCCCCAGCCCAGCCAACCATATCCAAACCAGGATCCCCCCCAGCACGCCCGTGCCCCCCCCCCCATCCGCATGTCCATCCCCATCATCATCAATCCATGTTCAGCGTGAGTCGCATTGGCGCCCATCTTGATCCCTACTCGCCTCACCTCCTCCCACTCCCTCCCACTCCCTCCTCCCCTCCTCACAACCACCAACACAACCACAACCACACCCGACTACATTCTCAAAATCTATATGTATGACATAGACATGGAGGATGCTGTCCTTGTCCTTGGAGTGTTGGGGTGTGCATACCTGCATACCGCCAAAAGGCTAGCCTTACCATTCTGTCAAATTTCAAGTTGAATGTTGCCGTCAATGACCACCGACCACCTCCTCCACTTCCACACCTCGTTCGTATCGCATCCTTGCCCGCCCCCGCTGCCCCCTTTTCCCTAACCCCAACCAATCATGAGCTGTAAACCAGTTCATGACCAAATTCTCACACACCCAAGACATGCAACTCTTGATCATCTACCCCATCGGCTCACGATGGAGATAGTGGTGGGGGCTACAGGCTCCCCCGCGAGGCGAGGCCAGAGAGGCTGGCTGGCGCCACAGACACACTGCACTCGACGCCAGACAGCGACCGAGAACATGGCTGACGAAGAGGACACGCTTGAGCCGGTCATTATCGAGGGTTGGAGCATTGTGCGCCATGGAAAGGTGGAGAAGGAGACGAGGAAGCTCCACGTGACGACTACCATCACCTCTCCACCACTCGCTCTCGGCGTACTCCCGCAGGCAGACACTCATGAGGCGGACAACGAGCTGGTTCTGGTGTTGAAAGAGTCGACGGACGTTGGAACGGGCGGATGGGTGTGGCAGGGCGCCATGATCACCGCCAACTTTGTCACCGATCCGGCATCGTTTGCTACAGGCACCTGGATGGGCAAGTCAGTCCTCGAGCTTGGCGCAGGCATCGGCCACACTGCGCTTGTCCTGGCATCGCTCGGCGCTGCTGTGGTGGCTACCGATCAAGCTCTTGTCGTGCCGCTCCTCGCCGCTAATCTGGCCGCCAACGAGAAGACTGTCGCGGCGCATGGTGGATCTGCCGCCGCCGCCGAGCTCGAGTGGGCGCCTGATGTGGCCGTTGACCCCGCAGTCGTCGCCAGCGCGGGCCTTGCCGCCGACGACAGTTTTGACTACATCGTCGCTTGCGACTGCCTCAAGTGCAATGAGTTTGTCGAGCCGCTTGCCGCCACACTCCGGGCTTACGCCGCCAGCTCGGCCACAACCATCCTTTTCTCTTACGAAGAGCGCGGCCTTTGCGCCCTCGACACCTTTTACGCAGCGACCGCCGGCCAGGGCGATTTTGAATGGACAGAACTCGTTGGCTCATCCGTCGGAGGCGGCCTCGCTTCGGGCGATCGCGCCATCTGGTCCATGCGCCGGTGCCTGTCCGACTCATGACATGCCGCCCTGGGTCGAAACCCAAGCCCTGCCAAGTTGGACTCTGCCTCTGGATCCATCTGCCAGGGCGGGAGGGTGACTACCGCGTCACCTCGTCTCTTTGCCACCAGGCAACCTAGTCTGGCCCACCACGGCCAACTCGCGCGCGCTCGTGGCGGATTTTCCCCGCTGACTGAGTGGCCCAACTTTGCCGCCATTTGCAAGCAAGACTTTTCTCGGGTCCAGTCAAGAGTACGCCACGACCCGTCCCTCCCCCTCTTCCTCCTTCCCCACACACTCCGCCCCCCCCCCTCCCTTTACATGCACACACGCCACATTCTTCACTCCACACCCTCTTCCACTTCCTACCATTCCCTCCCATCCCCCTACCTTTTACCCCCCTTCGTCCCGCACGGCCTCAGGCGACATGACGTCTTGCCACCCTGATCAAATCGCGCCTTTTTGTTCCCCCCCTCCCCCCCTCCCCCCCCGGCCCATGCTCCCCCCTCCCCCCCTTCCCTCCCTCTCCCCGCCCTTCATGCCTCCTCCAACCTCTTGCTCTGTCTATGTAGCGTCTCCTGCTAGTGTCTAAGCAGGCTAAAGAGGTTTAACACAGGCAGAACGAATTGGCGCGCTTTGTTCAAAATTTTGAATTTTTGGCGCTCACCGCAGACATGCCAAGGCTTCCACGCCACTCACACTCGCTCCCCGCGCCGGCACTGCAGTGGACTCGTTCTCAAACTACTCGGAGGACAACTGGGAGCCGTCGGCTTACTCTGACGACGGCGCAGCATCGTGGGCATCGCCGGCGCCGAAGAAGGCGCCAGTCAAGAAGGCAGCCAAGAAGGCGGGCAAGAAGGCAGCCAAGAAGGCGCCGCTGGGCGAGGTTGACACCAACGTGGTCGCTGCTAGCGGCGACGAGATCGCGGCTGCAAAGGCTGGCGGCAATGAGGCCGACGACAACACGGCTGGTGGCGAGAAGCCCTCGGTGGAGGACACGTACTCGCGGATGACGCAGCTGCAGCACGTGCTCCATCGTCCGGACACGTACGTCGGCTCGACGCAGCACACGACGGTGCGGACGTACACGCTGGTGGCCAAGAACGACGACGATGACGCAGGTGCAACGTCTGGTGAGTCGACGTCGACGACGTCGTCGCGGGCGGGCAACGTGGCCGAGCCAATGGTGGCCAAGGAGCGCGAGGTGACGTACGTCCCTGCGCTGTACAAGATCTTTGATGAGATTCTGGTCAACGCCGCCGACAACAAGCAGCGTGACTCGACAATGTCGATGCTCAAGGTTGAGATCGACCAGATGAACAACACCATTTCGGTGTGGAACAACGGGTCGGGCATTCCGGTCGAGATGCACGCCAAGGAGGGCATGTACGTGCCGGAGCTCATCTTTGGCCACCTCCTTACCTCGTCCAACTACAACGACTCGCAGGAGAAGGTGGTCGGCGGGCGGAACGGATTCGGCGCCAAGCTGACAAACATTTTCTCGACGCGGTTTGTGGTGGAGACGGCCGATGGCTCGCGCAAGCGGCAGTTCAAGCAAGTCTTCCATAACAACATGTCGTCGCGCGACGAGCCGATCATTACCAAGTGCAAGGCGCGCGACAACTGGACCAAGATCACGTTCACGCCGGACCTCGCCAAGTTTGGCATGACCGAGCTCGAGGACGACGTCGTGGCCATGATGACCAAGCGCGTTTACGACGTGGCCGGCTGCAACGGCGGGCTCAAGGTGTACCTCAACGGCGAGAAGCTGCCGATCAAGAACTTCTCCGACTATGTCAACATGTACCTCGGCGACATGGCGGCCAAGGAGAAGGTGTACGCCAAGGTCTCTGACCGGTGGGAGGTGTGCATTGCGCCATCTGAGGGTGAGTTCAAGCAGGTCTCGTTTGTCAACTCGATCTGGACGTCCAAGGGTGGCAAGCACGTCGACCACGTGGCCGACCAGGTGGTCAAGTCGCTCCGCGAGAAGCTGACCAAGGGCAAGAACAAGGTCTCGATCCAGCCGTTCCAGATCAAGGCCCACCTGTTTGTCTTTGTCAAGTCGCTCATCGTCAACCCGTCGTTCGACTCGCAGACCAAGGAGGAGATGACGACCAAGGCGTCGGCCTTTGGCTCGACGTGCAAGCTCACAGACGCCTTCCTCAAGAAAGTCCTCAAGTCGGGCATCAAGGAGGCTGTGACGCAGTGGGCCAACTTTAAGGCCAAGCAGAAGCTCGGCAAGACCAACGGAAAGCGGACCAAGCGGGTGACGGGTGTGCCCAAGCTCGAGGACGCCAACAAGGCCGGAACCGCCAAGGGCAAGGACTGCACGCTCATCCTCACCGAGGGAGATTCCGCCAAGGCGCTCGCCGTGGCTGGCCTCTCGGTTGTCGGGCGCGACTTCTACGGTGTTTTCCCGCTCCGCGGCAAGCTCCTCAACGTCCGCGACGCGTCGGTCAAGCAGATCATGGCCAACGCCGAGATCACGCACCTCAAGACGATCATGGGCCTCAAGCACGGGGTCGAGTACGACGCCGATACCATCAAGACCCTCCGCTACGGCTCGATCATGATCATGACGGATCAGGATGTGGACGGCTCGCACATCAAGGGCCTAGTCATCAACTTTATCCACACCTTCTGGCCGTCGCTCCTCAAGGTTCCGGGCTTCCTCCGCGAGTTCATCACGCCGATTGTCAAGGCCAGCAAGGGCCGCACCTCGCACACCTTTTACACGCTCCCTGAGTACGAGACGTTCAAGGAGGAGCTTGGCGGCTCGACCAAGGGCTGGACCATCAAGTACTACAAGGGTCTCGGTACCTCCAAGCCGAAGGAGGCCAAGGAGTACTTTTCGGACCTCCCGACCCACGTCAAGGACTTTGTCCACGAGGGCGAGGCCGCCGACACGGTCATCGACCTTGCCTTCTCCAAGAAGAAGGTCGAGGAGCGCAAGGCGTGGCTCTCGGCCTTTGAGCCGGGCACCTTCCTCGACATGACTGCCGAAGTCATCCCGTACTCGGACTTTGTCAACCGCGAGCTCATTCTCTTCTCACTGGAGGACAACCTCCGGTCGATCCCGTCGATGGTTGATGGCCTCAAGCCTGGCCAGCGCAAGATCCTGTTTGCGTGCTTCAAGCGTGACCTGCGGAAGGAGATCAAGGTCGCCCAGCTTGCCGGCTACGTTGCCGAGCACTCGGCGTACCACCATGGTGAGGCCTCGCTGGCGGCCACCATTGTTGGCATGGCGCAGGACTACACCGGGTCAAACAACATCAACCTGCTCATGCCCAACGGGCAGTTTGGCACCCGCCACCAGGGTGGTAAGGACGCGGCTTCCCCGCGTTACATTTTCACGGCGCTCAACCCGATCACCCGGTACCTCTTCCCCAAGGCCGACGACGCGCTCCTCGCCTACCAGGAGGAGGAGGGTGCGACGATCGAGCCCGAGTACTACATGCCGATTCTTCCGATGGCGCTTGTCAACGGGTGCGACGGCATTGGCACTGGCTGGTCGACCTCGATCCCCAACTACTCGCCGTACGACCTTGCGGCGGCCATCCGCAAGCTCATCGCAGAGGGTGTCGACGCCGAGCTTGAGCCGCTCGTTCCGTGGTACCGCGACTTTGGCGGCTCTATTGAGCCGCGGTACAAGAAGGAGAAGCTCATCGGCTACACCGTGACCGGCATCATCACCCAGACGTCGGAGACCACGCTTCGCATCGACGAGCTGCCAATCCGGTGCTGGACGCAGAGCACCAAGGACCTGCTCGAGTCGTTCATCGACCCGCCCAAGTCAACCGGCAAGGGCAAGGCCGCCAAGGTGGAGCCGTCCATCAAGGGCTACACCGAGTACCACACCGACACGACGGTCTCGTTTGAGATCGAACTCACGTCGGCGCAGATGGCGGCGGCGCTCGCGACCGGCCTCACAAAGAAGTTCAAGGTCTCGACCACCATCTCGGTCACCAACATGAACGTGTTTGACACCCAGACCCGGATCCGCAAGTACAAGGACGTCCGCAACATCATCCGCGACTTCTTTGCGCTCCGACTCGAGTACTACATCAAGCGCAAGGAGCACCTGACCGCCGAGCTTGACGAGGCCTGGCGCCGCCTCGACAACAAGGCACGCTTTATTGGCGCGGTCATCGACGGTTCGCTCGTTGTCTCGGGCGTCCGCAAGGCCGAGCTGGTGGCGACGCTTGTGGCCGAAGGCTACACGCCGTTCCCCAAAAATGCCAAGAAGACGGCGACCGGTGACGACGGCGACGACGACGATGACGACGACGACACCACCGTGGCTGCCGTCAAGGCCTCCGACTACAACTACCTCCTCTCCATGCCGATCTGGTCGCTCACGGCCGAGAAGATGGAGGCGCTCGTGACCGAGCGCGATTCCAAGGAGGCGGAGCTCAAGGAGCTGCTCTCCAAGCGGCCCGAGGACCTCTGGCTCTTTGACCTCGACGAGTTTGAGGCGGCCTTTGCCGACATCACTGCGTCGCGGACCAAGGACCAGTCGTACGGGACCAAGAAGAAGGGCGGCAAGAAGAAGAAGGGTGGCAAGAAGAAGAAGGCCGATGTCTGGGGTGACGACGATGACGACTGGGGCGCCGACTCGGCGTCCGACGACGGCTTCCTCAAGCCGAAGGCTGTTGCAACGTCCAAGCCCAAGAAGGCGCGCTCGTCGCGCGCCCGCAAGACTTCCAAGTCGGTCACGTACACCGAGGACGACGACTCGACCGATCTTGAGGCGGTCGACGCCGCGCCGGCCGTTCCGTCGCGCAAGCGCAAGAAGGAGGCCAAGGCTGCGGCGCCGGCGCCGGCGGCCGAGGCTGCGGCTGCTCCGGCACCTGCGGCGGTCGACATGTCGCAGCTCTCCCTGATGGAGCGGATCAAGCTCCGGGTTGAGCAGGCTAAGGACGAGGCCGTGGACCCGACGCTGCCGTCGGTGACCGGCACGCCGCCGGCCAAGCGCAAGAAGGTTGTTGCGCCTGCGACCAAGAAGGCTGCGCCCAAGAAGAAGGCCGCGCCCAAGAAGAAGAAGAAGGTGGTCGAGTCCGACTCGGACGACGCGTTTGATGACGACGTTTACTCGGGAGCCGACTCGGGCTCGGATCCGGTGGAGATGGTGACGCGGACGCCGCGGGCCAAGCGCTCGACCCGTGGCTCGCGGACGACCGTCTCGTATGCTGGCTTTGATGACGACTCGGACTCGGACTTTGCCTACTCGTAGACGCGTAGTACCAGCCTAGCCTGGCTGCGCTCCCTCGTCAGGGGGAAGTGAAGAAACCTGTAACCTGTGAAGACGACAGCCATGAAGAGCGCCGAGCCCACTCATGCGTGCTTGGAAATGAGGGCCTTGAACTGAGCGTACAGATCCTCACCAGCCGGACCAAACAGCTCCCAGGCCTTGCGGAGCGTGTCGTCGCGGGTGACCTGGTGGTTGTTGAGAGCCTTGATCGATTCGAGGAACGCGTTGAACTGCTCGTACGAGAGGCGGGCGCGGGCGGCGCGGAAAAACTCACGGCCGTCGACCGAGTCGAGGGCCGGCCCGCCGGGCGAAGCCGGTGCGGTGCTGGCCGATGGCGGCATTGTCCGCGGGCGGACAGGCGAGGCTCGAGCAGCCGATGACGGCGAGTTGATGGAGCGGTTGATCTCAGCAATGAGTTCGTCGGCGGCAGCGTTGGAGACAGACGACCGCAACGGAGTCGACGGTGCCGCATAGTTGTTTGCCGGTGGGCTCTGAGTAGCTACTCCAGTGCCGGCATAGGCGAGCTCGGAGGCGGCCATAGTTGAGTAGCGATCGGCGATGTTGAGGGCGGCGGAGACCGAGGAGGAGAGCGGCGGCTCCGCAGAGGCGCCAGCACGCGGAGTGGCGTACGACGCACCAGAACGCTGCGGCGAAAAGGCGGCGGAGGGGGCGAGGTCAGGATCGTCAAAGGTGTGAAGAATGGCCTGCTTAAAGTGGACGAGCTTGGAGAGATCAGTCTTGGTCTTCTGGAGGGCAGCAGCGAGCTGGACGTTCTCGTCGAGGAGATGAGCACGCTCGCTGACCACAGCACGATGCGAAGCCTCAACCTCTGCCACACGGGCATTGAGGCCGGCGACCTTGGCCTCGAGCGAGGAGATCAGATTCCGCTGGTCCACCACCACAGCCTGAGACTGAAGGAGCTCTTGCTCGAGTGTCCGCGTCTGGGCGTTGTACAGCTCGTGCAGCCGCTGGAGGGTATTGACAAACTCACTCGAGTTGGATTCCATGGTGGGTGTGAGTAGGAGTGAGGGGGAGTGGAGTGGCTTTAGTGCCGGTGAGCAGTGGTGGTGGTGGGTGGTAGGGGTTGGCAGGGGAGGTGGGGGGGGGGGAGGGTGGCGGTTGGCGGTTGGGAGGGGGGCGGGGGGGGGGGGGACGGGAGGGAGGCGGGAGCAGGGTCGATGCTCGCTGC